GCGCAAGGTGACACCCAAATTCGTGAAGCGTTCCATATTTTTTAGGTGTGACACAAAAATGAACATTTCTTCTTCTTCTTCTTCCTCTATTCTAGGTCACCAACTGTTACGCAAATGTTTGACGTAAATGAGGGCTCGCGTCTCTTGCTGTGATGTCATAGAATACCAGGATGAAGAATATCCTTGTCAACACTCGCAACGAGCTGAACTTTCTTTTTCCCTATTTGAATCTCTATGAGGAATGTATGTTGAACATTTCTGGGGTTTTCTATATAAGGTTAATACAGCAGGGAACAGAATTTATTTGTTGTCAAAAAGATCATTTCGAGGAGCCTTTGCCATCAGTAAGTGTTCATGATTTCAACAGTTTTATCACTTACCGTAACCCTCCCGCGATATGGGAAAGAGTTGTCTCCCCACACACACACACACACACACACACACACACACACACACACACACACACACACACACACACACACACACACACACACACACACAATATGTTCTCTAATAATATCACGCATCTATGGAGATTGAGACATTGTTCGGAATATACAACACTGGCCACTGACCTCTGATATCCGGGTAAACCTGGGTAAATAGTCTAGGGTAAACTGGGAGAGCTAACAGGAGCGGGAGTCCTATTTACCCAGTGTCAACTCTACATACACACAGATTCGTGATCTGTCTCACAGTCCCCGAACTGCATTATTTTCTTTCCGCCCTGTCCTTTCTGCAATGTTAAAGCATAAAGGAGCTATGTCCAGATTTCCTCAGGTTGTCCCATCTCACATGGGGTCCTGTTCAATTTTAAAGGACTTATATATTTCAATCAAAATTATATATATTCAGAGACTAAGCGTCAGTCTAGCAGATTCGATCCGCTGTGCCACAGATTGTACAGGTGCAGTTTACCCGAAACCCATATTAATTTTATATTGTTAGTTAGTGTTTTACAGCAAGAGCGATAGCCCCTTAAAAAAACTTTTGTCATTTTATCAAGACAAACAGTTTTCTGTGTTTTATTTAAAACGTTTTTGCATATTTCGTTTTGACTATATGAATACAAATCATCTCGACTTTTTTGGCTCGGAACTATAACTCAAGCGGCAAGTTTGGGTCTATATATATATAACGATATAACGCTTGGCTGGATAGCCAGTCATCCTATATCATCCTGTGGTACCACACTATTTCCAGTCGTCCTATATAATCCTGTGATATAACGTTTGGCTGGATGGCCAGTAGTGTGATCCAGTGATATAACGCTTGGTTATACGGCCAATCATCCTATGTGATCCAGTGATATAACGCTTGGTTGGATGGCCAGTCGTCCTATGTGATCCAGTGATATAACGCTTGGTTGGATGGCCAGTCATCCTATGTGATCCAGTGATATAACGTTTGGTTGGATGGCAAGTCGCCCTAAGTGATCCAGTGATATTAACGCTTGGTTGGGTGGCAAGTCGTCCTAAGTGATCCATTGATATAACGCTTGGTTGGATGGCAAGTAGTCCTAAGTGATCCAGTGATATAACGTTTGGGTGGATGGCAAGTCGTCCTAAGTGATCCATTGATATAACGCTTGGTTGGATAACCAGTCACCCTAAGTGATCCAGTGATATAACGTTTGGGTGGATGGCAAGTCGTCCTATGTGTTCCAGTGATATAACGTTTGGTTGGATGGCAAGTCGTCCTATGTGATCCAGTGATATAACGTTTGGTTGGATGGCAAGTAGTCCTAAGTGATCCAGTGATATAACGTTTGGTTGGATGGCAAGTCGTCCTAAGTGATCCAGTGATATAACGTATGGTTGGATGGCAAGTAGTCCTAAGTGATCCAGTGATATTAACGCTTGGTTGGATTGTTGATTTACTGGATATATGTCTTTTGAACCGTTATAACATGATGTAATAAACAGACAAATAAGGAGAACGGTTGAAACAATGAATTTAGGGAACACATAGTCTGACTGCAAAGAAAATTAAATGATGTCAGCGAGTATTCTCACAAAACGAAATTTGGTAACATTCTTATTCTAAATTCCAAGCACAGTTAACTGTAAAGACACGCTACAGACCACTCTTAAAATACCCCTTCGCAATTTTCGGAGACACCGCACTCGACAGGTGTTTAGGTGGCTGGGGACTGGGGTCAGTGGCGAGGGTAATAGGCTGGACGCAGAAGCACCTGTTGGACAAGGCCATCACTCAGTGAAGGGGCGGCTCTATAACCGTTCTTTGTTATCAGCACACACTGTCGCCTTACTCCTGTTCAGGGCTGATGTCTCACGCAATCAAAATCTCGCATTGGGGTATTCATAGAGATGACCACGCTTCCACCATTCATCATTTGGGGCTGGATTGTCACATGGGCCCTAAACACGAGTTTAATAAATCTAAGATGTCTGGTTGTATGTTTGTGTGTGATGTGTGTTATTACGGACCCGTAGCATCCGCACCAGAAATATATGTTGTACTCGATCAGGGCACGAGATCAGCGTATTTTGGCCCCAGCTGCATATCAGTAGTTTATGCCGATTGTCCAGTGAGTACTGATTAATTGAAGCCTTGGATTTGAGGACGACAGATGCGATGGGACACTGAGAGTCATCCTATTGTAACTTCAGACAAGCTACTGAAAAGGCCTGAGAAAGACCGAAAATTGATGGCTTCAGAAAGAGCACATTATTCTTGCCCACTGACATAGTAAATGTAAATGCATTTCCCCAACCTTAGGTTTCAGCACAACATGAACGGCAGATGTGTACAAGCACATCGTTATTAGTCTTTTTTAAGAGCTTTGCGATTCCGCCCAAAACAGTATACAAATTATACCAGCCGATTCACCACAGTATCAACTTGTTTCAGTTAATGTATTCTGTAAAGAAATTTAATGGTTTTGCTATTTATCAATGAGTCTACACAAGGCTGTATCTAGTCAAGGCTGCATCTAGTCTGTCTGACAGTCACTCAACCACATTATTTCCCCTTAATCCCAGCCCTTTCCGCAATGCTAAATCTATTAGTGAAGCAAGTACGGGTTTCCTCAGGTTCCCATTGTCCTATCTCATTGAGGTAGATTGACAGTGTTAATGGAATTATTTGTTTTTATCAAAATTACATATATTCGGGGAGTAAGCGTTAGTGTTGACTGTTTTACAAAGCCACCGTGTGATGTCAACAACACCGCTGTGTTAATGTCTCTGCTAGTGTATTCTATGAGACATTCTGTGTGAAGACAACACTAAAAGCCTCTTGCCGCAAAGCCGTTATTTCGCTTCATTTATATTGTTGTATTTCCAGATGTTCAATCTCAGCTTCACATCTCACGCTGGCATCTGGCCTAAACAACATCAAAGACTGGAATTATATTTGCCGCATACGGGCGGTTAAATGGTTTCACCGAAAGATTCCGTTACTGAACTCTCTTAACAAAGCCGGGTACCAGCGTTTGCGTCGCAATTCAATCATGAAGGGTTCATTGAACTTCACTAATAAATGTCAACACTGCGCGAGCGTCGAGCACGTGCCGGGACTACAGTCAGCTCTTTAAGAAGCTGCTATTGTGTCGTCGTCTGCAGATACAATGAAGTGCGGCCACTGTCACGGCGTTTTCTTGTCGCAGTGTTAATGTTTTAGGATGCTGTCGGGTACAGGAATGTTTTCAATGACGTGTCTGGTCCCAGCTGCACGTGCTGGGACGCGGTCGTGTTGCCACCTGGAGCAGATGGCGTAGGCGTGCGCGTTGTCGTATTGCATGCATCGCTAAGAATAGATCTGGCGGGAAAAATCGCGTGCCGACAGGACGCCTGACTCCATTCACGAAAAGCACGGTTGTTCTCGGTTTCTCGTGTAAGAACTAACGTATACTTCTTCAGGTTGGTACGCGTACCCTCAACAAATAACTTGTAACGTTTCCTGCTGAAAGAACATTCCGGTATTCCCGTATCCTGTTTGAGTTTGGCTATTCAAGAAAATTCTCCTTCTCTAAACCATAACCACAACACGGATGCTAGACTAACGTTGTCTCAGAATATATATAATTTTGATAAAAACAAATAATTAAATTAAAATTTAAAATGAGCCCCAGTGAGATGGGAGATTCAGAACCTGAACCTGAGAAAATCTAGACTTGCTTCATTTAGGGCTTTAGCATTGTAGAAAGGAATGGCCGGAGCGGAAAATACTGCGGTTCGAGGACTTTGAGACAGACTGCAAGCATAACTCGAATCATAACGAACAGGCAATAGATACTGCCAGCTCGATTTCACTTCATACTTGAGTTTCAGCACTTCCGACCCTCACCATGGTACTTTTTCACTTGGAGAAACATCCCCATTTGAATATCATTAGTAAACAATCACAACATCTATTTTTTTAAAACAAGAAAAACAGTGGACGTAGTTCCTACAAAAATATCAATTATGAATTCATCCTTTGATGACCCTCCCAATGACGTTTTTGGAAAGAGATTATCAACTAACCACTGTGTTTGAATCCCAGATCATGGTTCTGGGCATCATCCTCCATGCCATGTATAGCTTCAAGCTTTTCTCCGGACACCGGGACTGACGGAACACTACACTAGGGTAGCCTAGTGGTTTCAAGTGCTGGAGTCATAGGTTCGATTCCATAAAGGATACATTGTAAGAAGCCAATTTTGACTGGTATTGCTGGAATATTGCTAAAAGTAGAGTAAAACCCCACTCAGTCAGTCACTATGAAGTTAAAAGAAAATCACTCCATGTGACATCAGATGGAAGATGAACTCACCATTTTTAGTATAATTGAGTGAGTGTGAATTTGGTTTTATGATGCTTATAGCAATATTCCAGCAATATCACTGTGAGGGACACCAGAAATGGGCTTCACACATTGTAACCATGTGGGGAATTGAACCGGGGTCTTCAGCATGACGAACAAACTCTTTAACCACTAGGCTACCCCACTGCCCCATTTTAAGTATAAACCAATTGAACTAATAACAATCTTTGTTTAGAAGTAACAAATGTGTTTATTCAATTAGCAATGACAAATGGTAAATAAAGATATTGTGACAATAAACTTCAGCCAACATGTCTGTTTAATTATCAAAGTTTCCTGGTCCATGTTTCAATACTGATTCCAACCTTCATCATGACAACAGTGGTAACCTCACTGAAAAAGCATGTCAGACAAATCACATTTACTGTTAGAAATATACCGAGATGTACATATATATATATATGTATATATATGAAAATGAAAGACATTTTTGTATACTCCTAAAATTAATATTTTCTTATTGTAATGTACCATATCAAGTACAAGATGTAATATTAGACATAACACATACATACATTTACACTGAGTAAACAAACACTTATCTAACAATATTCATAAAATAGACATGACGTTCCATGAAAATATTAAGAGCAGGATTAAATATCATATTATTGATCAAAGACATTTATTGTAGTTATTGAAGTGACTAAAATATACAGAAATTAACAAATGTATATAATTGATTTGGAACTGGAGTTGAGCAATGATGTCAATCATGTCAAGACAGCCAACACCTCCGAGGCAACACTGGCATACAGTATAGACTAACAGAGGTATGGTCTCAACTGTGTACATCCAGATACTGAAGTAGTTACAGCACTGTGTGAAGCAGGAGTTGGTTTCATATCTTGGAAGGTATTGACTGATCGATGGATACAAATCTAAAGATCTGAGTAAAAAGACAGTGTTGTTGAAAAAACCTGAATCAGACTTGCCATGACCTGCAAGTTTCGAAACACTCCAAGCACCAACTTGACATTGAAGAGTGTCTTGATCCTTACAGTTTCAACTGTTATTACATTGAAATTAACAAAAGTAATGTTTCTGTGAAAAGATTTGGACAATGTATGAGGGTAGGATCATATTTGCTTCGACAGAATGGATCTCCTCTGTTTATTACCTGAGGGAGTGTTTGGTGCAAGTGATGCTTCAGAAAACTGTATTTTGATAATGGTCAGTGGGCAGGCATATTTGCAACTGAAATTGTCTCCCCTGTTAAAGACCTGGGGGCGCGAATCGAGACTAAAGAGCGCAGGACTTATTTGTGTGTATTGGACTGGACTGAAAATAAAGATAGAAGACATTCTACAGTGAGTTTCTATGAAGATGTGCGCCATCACCAAAGATGAAATGCCAGAAAGGTTTTGAAACCAACTTACATGCATGGGTTTTTAGAACATGATACATTGCCATCCAATTGTGGAACATCCAATGACATTTGTGTGTCCTCACACTGGCAGGTCACATCACTTGTATCACTCCTGCTTGTTTTACCTAAGTAAGCTTCCTGTTCCCTGTTAGGACTTGTTTTGTACAACCAATTGAAGCGAGTGTAACATGTTAAGTAAAAAGCTAGTCCAATTTGATTGTTTTTGAGTGAAGCAAATATTGAAAGGGAACTGTGTATTCACTATAGCAATAGTCTAAACAGTTACTACATGTACTCTCTTGCAACATCTTGCCTTCTGAAACATCTTGGCTTATTGCAATCACAAAGCAATTTCCTAACTGATTTACACTGATGGTTGTTTGTCATTGTTAAAGAATTACCAACTGTATTTCATCTTTGGCATGATTGACTCTAAGCTTAAAAGATTGTTTTAGTAACTAGGGTTTATTCAAGACAGCCAAGGACAAAAAGTCTTCATAACTAAGACTAATGGCTCCAGTCATGTTTGTGTCTCGCTGCTTGAAGGCATCAGTCAGAGACTTCAGCATCACACAAGCCTGGATGAAGTTATCAAGCGTCAACTGCCTTCGCGCCTGAATATCAAATCTGTAGACTATCATGTTGACGAAGTTCATAGTCAAATTATACCCCATCTGACTGAAAGCTGCAACAGAGATATTTGATCATCATTAGGACAACATCTTCAAATGCCTCTGACACACCTCCACAGTTTTGAAACTTTTTAAAACTTAACAATAAACTGTGAGGTCACAGACTCTGCAGATACAATCCACATGAAAAAAAATTACTATTAAAATGAGTGAACAGTACATCACCATGTGCCATGGGAAAACAATCAGTCTACTTATATGGATCACGCAAGCAAGCATGACATACCAATGAAACTAATCACAATTCTTGACTTGAACCTAATTCTGGCACAACTAAGGGAGGCAACATTTTACAGAGATTTACAGAACGTCAGACTACTGGGACATATTTTGGGGATGCATTTCATCATGGTATTCCTCAGATCACATTCACAGAATATAACAATGCCTTTTATACCTGTTATGGTATGTTCTTGCTCAAAATAATATTTGTGTTAAAAGGCTTTCCATAGTAAGTAATAAGTATAAAAAATCCATTTCAGCTGTAAAATTAACAAACTTTTGCATACCAGAATATTTTAACTCCCTAAGTGGAGTTTGACAAGGCTGTATCCTAAGTCCCCAATCAATCAACTTGAAGAAGATTTACAGTTGTATGATGGTAGATGTATTCTTATTGGAGCATAACTTTTGGAGTTGTTTTAATAACTTTAAACTGATGATTTATGTTTGTTCTTTACTCTGGTTATTGGTTTACATAAGAAAATACATGTATTATCAAAATTTTGCACAAAATGGGGATTAAAGATAAATATTACAAAAACAGAGCTACTTGTTTTCTGCAATGGGGCCAAATAAAGAAGACTGAAAAATGGATATTTAATGATGTATGATTATCAACTTCAACCTTCTATAGCTATTTAGGTATTTTATTTTCAAATAGACTCCCTTGGTCAAAAGCAGTACAAACTCTTGTTCACAAAGCTGGTAAAGTTCTTTTTCCAATCACACAACTTCATTTTAAATTAAAGAATCTTTGCCTTTCTGTTTTATTTCAAACGTTTGATACACAGATAAAACCAATTATTCTCTACTGCTAAGAGACATGGGGTTACCATGAATGGGTAGCCCCAGAAAGATTCCATATACAATTTTGTAAATATGTTCATACAACAAATGATGCTGTCTTGGCTGAATGTGGTCATTATAAGATCTACTGTCATCCAATTAAAAGATGTATTAGATATTGGTGTAAATTATTAAGTATACTCGGCATCATAAATGAAGGGTCAAGCTATTGGTAACACTATTTCTTAAAGGTTGTAAAATCTTCATTTTTGTTTGAAATATATACAACTGAATGTTTTACAAACCTTCTTAACAGTATGGAAAAACACATCAGGACATTGAAATGTCATTATTACGTTCTTTAATGTCCGATACAAATGGCTTATTTTTTATTCAAATTGTCAACATGGAAATCGACCTGCCACTTAATGTCAATGATTTGCACGTGCAAGTCGCTCTATTCATGGATAGTGGAGGACTATATACATGCTTTGATGCTTTTTCACTGTTGTACCTGTTGGAAATCGGACCTTAAAATGAGATGTTTTTTGACACTTGCTGAAGGGGGTCAGGCTATAGGCCTTTTGGAATCTGGTCAAACTCAGCGTCAGGTTGCTGTTTGCTTTCATGTGAGTCAGAGTGCTACTGGTAGACTGTGGCAGAGATTTCAAGCCAATGGGTTCCGTGGAATATGCACGTCAACCAGGTCACCCCAGAGTCACAACAGTCCAAGATGACAGGCACATGATTAACACTGCGTTACGTAAAAGATTCCTTAACGCAGCAGATCTTCAGCCAGAACACTTCAATGTTAGCAATTTAAGGATATCCAGGGCAGCCCGACTCTGCTGTAGGCGAGCTGCAGTTCGTCCACCACTAACACCTCGTCACAGGCAGCCGCGTTTGAGATTGAGTAGACGTCATTAGAGGTGTGACGATACAGAAATTTCATGATACGATTCGTATAGAGAATACTACACGACGTCTCATTACATGCGAATATTACGAAACGAGTGTCCTTCCTATGGTATCTGACCGAGCGAAAGCGAGGTCAGATAACATAAAAAGGTCACGAGTTTCCTATAATTTGTATGTAATGAGACCGAGTGTGGTATTTTATTTATTACCCACATCTTGCATGCATTAAATTGACAAAATAGCGTATTTTTGTTATTTTTATGGTTTCAAACTGAAACCAATTTCATAAAGAGTTTGCGGAAGAGTTTTGTACTGTAGTACAATATTTGCATGACGTCACAATGTAATGACGTCACTCCCTTGGTAACAGACATCACGATGCATGTCAGTTGTCATCGCCTCGTACAGCCTCCTACAGCAAACTACTCTGTAGCAACCCGTTTCTTGGTTTGCAGTTGCTTCATTCGGCTAACATCACTGGTGGAAACAATGCATTTATGTTTTTCGACGGATATAATGTCTCAGTTCGACTCACAATTAAACAGCGACACAGCAACGTTCACAATGTTTACATTCCCACAATGCATTTAAGTTGTCGAATGAATGAATTCATGTGTTTGTTATGAATGAAAAAATAGTTTCGTCAGAATGTGACCTAATTGAGAGGTCATCGATTATCCAATCAAATCCTTAGAATCTCAGGTCAAGTCGTTACGACACAGGTCAACGCGATACGACACTCGTGTAACGTACGAGATTAGTATGCAACTACCCATACGTTGACCAAGGGGGTAATAAATTGCGATATCTTGGAACGATACGATTCGATTCGATGCATATCACGATATTCTATCTTTAGTTATTTTCTTTCAAAATGTATACATGTATTTTGAGAGCAAGTAACAGTGTAAATTTTGACATAACCGCCAATTTCTGGTGAAACTTGATAATTTTAAGGTCAACGATACATATCACGATACGAAAAAAAGTATCGATATATTTATCGTCAGAAAAAGTGTCACGATTATCGATACTACGATATATCGTCACAGCTCTAGATGTCATGGCCACTGGAATCAAGGTCAATGGTCTCATGTGCTCTTCACAGATGAAAGCAGATTCAAATTGTCCTTCCATGATGGTCGGCAGAGGATTTATCGTCGCAGTGGAGAGCGAATCACAGATGCAACTGTGGCCACGCATAACCGCTTTGGCGAGGTCATGGTTCGGGCAGGGATAACTCCTACTGGACGTACTCCACTGCACGTGGTCGATGGTAATCTTACCAGACAGCGTTATCGTGACGAGACTCTGGCTCCTATTTCAGTACCATTCCTGCTAGTTAAGCATGGTTTTTATGGTCGACCCTCTTTATTGCAAGACGACAATGCTAGGATTGTAACGGAATTCCTTAGGCTGCAGGGGTTAGTGCGGATGGAGTGGCCAGCATGCTCGCCAGACCTCAACCCAATGGAGCCTGCCTGGGATGAACTCAGTCTGGGATGAACACATCACCCAGCACCAGTGGATCTCCAGAGGAATGCAATGCGATTCTGCAAACTTTCACAAGATATTGAATGACCGAGTGCCATGTTTGTCATTTTCAGTTTGGGGAGTTGGTCTATACAACTGATGCTTGCTAGTATCTCACGATGTGTCACATTTGTCAACACATTAAACATTATGTTGACACTCTTAGTTGTATTATTTCTGAGAAACTTCTCTTTACATGTGCTATATATCATTTGACCCTTTATTAATGATGCCCAGTATAAATAGATACCCTAAACAATGTTACCTTATACTAAAAAGAAAGAACGAAAATGGACGTAAGTCATGATTACGTAAGTTAAAAGATTAATCTGCATCTATGGTTTTAATTATGCATGGGATTTCCAGAATATTGTAAACCCTGATATATGTATTTCACAATCATTCTCGCAAAGGGTTAATTCTCAGTCTCTTCTTTCCATGTTAAAAGACCACTCAAACTTAGATTTCTACCCTTCTTAGATTTTCATTGAAAGAACTTTTTGAATGGAATCATACCTATTGACAATACATAATAAAGATTTAAGAAGAGATACATTGCTCTTAAGGTTAGGTGAATTAAAAATCATGAAGAATACTGGTAGAAAAAAATGTATACCTAGAAAATCAAGATTTTGTCTATTTTGTAAGAATATCTTAAAAGATGAGATTTTATGCTAGAATGTCCAATCTATAATAAGTTGTTAAAATATATGATAAATATTGAATATGTAAATAATGATTGTCTAATAAAATTTCTTAAAAATGCCAACCCTAAAGTTAACGCTCTTGATGCAAAGCTGATCAAAGAAGCATTCATGTTATGTTGCTCAGCAATATTCCATCTATATATTGTATGTCTGTACTAAATAATCAAGTCTGGACCATACATTCCAGTGATCAACATTATAAGCATCAATCTAAGCAACTGGGATAAAATGACAGTAAATGTATATGTACATATTTTCAATGTGTATGCTGTTGAGATATATTATACATATGTTGTTGTTGTGAACTTAAGCACCTTGTATGTATTTACATGTACCTTGCATTCATATTGTACTTGGGCCTGTGGCCTTTATACTGAATAAATTCTTCTATAACAATGCAATATTATGCCCTCATGTATCTAGAGAAAATAGTACCCAGGCAGTGTATCGCACCTGTACATGCAGTCCACAGTGAAATATCAACAATGACACACACTAAACACAGCTGTATGCATTGATATTAACCATTTCCAGCATACATGCTGAGGATTTCCAGAGAAACACTGACATCAAATGATCAAACTATGATGACATCAAAAAGAGAAACTGACATGACAAAGTTTAGCTCGCTCAAACAATGCATTTGGAAAGAATTTCAGAGCAAAACAAAATTTAACATACAAACAAACTACAAATTTCATTGTATTCTGAACAATAACAAGCATAATGACCATTAACTCTTGCAACTGGGATTTATCCTTTTGGTTGGTAAAGTCACAGAAAGGTTCTAATTCAGTGTCATAACCTTTACTTAAAAGGTCTCCTGACAAATGCTCTATAACAAAGAGTTTATTATTTAGAGTGTACATATTTTTGCTTGACTTTTTTAATCCACCAGACTAAAAATATAAAATCCATAAATATATTCAAATCAAAATGACAAGGGTTTGTTATTCCACTGAGCATACAGATTGTTTCTTACACCATCAGATTTTATTAGATATTCATGAGTACCAAAACCAGGCCAAGAGTTTTCAACTTTACCAATCCAAATCAAACTTAAGGATAATGACAACCATCCTTTACAAAACTTTTCATGTTAAATCCAAACATCACCCTCCCCTATTTTTTCACAATCAAAATACCCATGAAGGTCCAAATTAGAATTGATCTTCATAACCCATGCTTGTCGTAAGAGGCTTACTAATGGGATAGGGTTAGTCATGGCTTGCTGACTTGGTTGACACATCGATGCTCATGCTGTTGATCACTGGATTGTCTGGACTCGATTATTTACAAACCATCGGCATAAAACTAAACACACTCACTCACAATCCAAATCTATAAGTGGCCCAGGGTAATGGAGTCTTGGATTAACAGGTGAGTGGAAAGTGACCATAAGGAAAGTGAAAGACACCTGAAAGTTATGACAAACACCTGAATGGAATAGTACTTGGAACATTGACTCACCAGAGTGAAGCTCCTGAGCTTCAATACCTCCTGAGCGATTACCATCAAATCTTTCAAAGACAGCTCTCCACTGCTGGATGTAGTTCCACAAGGCACTGAATTCATTCATGTCAATCGTTCCGCTCATATCACGGTCAAACATACCTGGAAAAACAGATGGCGAAATTACAGACCATGATCACAGTACATGTATCTGACAGGTTATCACAACATGGTATCAATACATTTGAATTGTACATTCCTACTGAAATTAGTGATATGGTGTGTATCAGACTGAGAGGAGATGTTAAGTAAGACAGCCCAGCCATCAGAAGCCTACAGTAGTAGGAGACAATCAGGATCCTACTGTAGTGTGACGACCCACCTATCAGGAGCCTACAATAAAAAGTGAGTGATGTGACGACCCACCTATCATGAGCCTATAATAAATAGCGTGTGATGTGACAACCCACATATCATGAGCCTACAATGAATAGTGAGTGATGTGACAACCCACCCATCATGAGCCTACAATAAATAGTGTGTGATGTGACAACCCACATATCATGAGCCTACAATAAATAGTGTGTGATGTGACAACCCACCCATCATGAGCCTACAATAAATAGTGTGTGATGTGACGACCCACCCATCATGAGCCTACAATAAATAGTGTGTGATGTGACAACCCACCCATCATGAGCCTACAATAAATAGTGTGAGATCTGACAACCCACCCATCATGATCATACAATAAATAGTGTTTGATGTGACGACCGACCCATCATGAGCCTACAATAAATAGTGTGTGATGTGACAACCCACCCATCATGAGCCTACAATAAATAGTGTGAGATCTGACAACCCACCCATCATGATCATACAATAAATAGTGTTTGATGTGACAACCCACTCATCATGAGCCTACAATAAATAGTGTGTGATGAGACAACCAACCTGTCAGGAACCAAATGCAGTGTGTGATGAGACAACCCATCTATCAGGAGCCTACACTAATGTGTGATGAGACAACCCATCTATCAGGAGCCTACACTAATGTGTGATGAGACAACCCATCTATCAGGAGCCTACACTAATGTGTGATGAGACAACCCATCTATCAGAGAGCCTACACTAATGTGTGATGAGACAACCCATCTATCAGGAGCCTACACTAATGTGTGATGAGACAACCCATCTATCAGGAGCCTACACTAATGTGTGATGAGACAACCCATCTATCAGGAGCCTACACTAATGTGTGATGAGACAACCAATCTATCAGGAGCCTACACTAATGTGTGATGAGACAACCCATCTATCAGGAGCCTACACTAATGTGTGATGAGACAACCCATCTATCAGGAGCCTACACTAATGTGTGATGAGACAACCCATCTATCAGGAGCCTACACTAATGTGTGATGAGACAACCCATCTATCAGGAGCCTACACTAATGGGTGATGAGACAACCCACCTATCAGGAGCCTACACTAATGTGTGATGAGACAACCCATCTATCAGGAGCCTACACTAATGTGTGATGAGACAACCCACCTATCAGGAGCCTACACTAATGTGTGATGAGACAACCCATCTATCAGGAGCCTACACTGTGTGATGAGACAACCCAACTATCAGGAGCCTACACTAATGTGTGATGAGACAACCCACATATTAGGAGCCTACACTAATGTGTGATGAGACAACCAACTATCAGGAGCCTACACTAATGTGTGATGAGACAACCCACCTATCAGGAGCCTACACTAATGTGTGATGAGACAACCCATCTATCAGGAGCCTACACTAATGTGTGATGAGACAACCCACATATTAGGAGCCTACACTAATGTGTGATGAGACAACCCATCTATCAGGAGCCTACACTAATGTGTGATGAGACAACCAACATATCAGGAGCCTACACTAATGTGTGATGAGACAACCCATCTATCAGGAGCCTACACTAATGTGTGATGAGACAACCCACATATGAGGAGCCTACACTAATGTGTGATGAGACAACCCATCTATCAGGAGCCTACACTAATGTGTGATGAGACAACCAACTATCAGGAGCCTACACTAATGTGTGATGAGACAACCAACTATCAGGAGCCTACACTAATGTGTGATGAGACAACCCACCTATCAGGAGCCTACACTAATGTGTGATGAGACAACCCATCTATCAGGAGCCTACACTAATGTGTGATGAGACAACCCAACTATCAGGAGCCTACACTAATGTGTGATGAGACAACCCACATATTAGGAGCCTACACTAATGTGTGATGAGACAACCCACCTATCAGGAGCCTACAATAATGTGTGATGAGACAACCCATCTATCAGGAGCCTACACTAATGTGTGATGAGACAACCCACATATTAGGAGCCTACACTAATGTGTGATGAGACAACCCATCTATCAGGAGCCTACACTAATGTGTGATGAGACAACCAACATATCAGGAGCCTACACTAATGTGTGATGAGACAACCCATCTATCAGGAGCCTACACTAATGTGTGATGAGACAACCCACATATTAGGAGCCTACACTAATGTGTGATGAGACAACCCATCTATCAGGAGCCTACACTAATGTGTGATGAGACAACCAACTATCAGGAGCCTACACTAATGTGTGATGAGACAACCAACTATCAGGAGCCTACACTAATGTGTGATGAGACAACCCACCTATCAGGAGCCTACACTAATGTGTGATGAGACAACCAACTATCAGGAGCCTACACTAATGTGTGATGAGACAACCCATCTATCAGGAGCCTACACTAATGTGTGATGAGACAACCAACTATCAGGAGCCTACACTAATGTGTGATGAGACAACCCATCTATCAGGAGCCTACACTGATGTGTGATGAGACAACCCATCTATCAGGAGCCTACACTAATGTGTGATGAGACAACCCATCTATCAGGAGCCTACACTATTGTGTGATGAGACAACCCATCTATCAGGAGCCTACACTAATGTGTGATGAGACAACCCACATATTAGGAGAATACAGCAGTGAGTTATGACACAACCCACATATCAAGAGCCTACACTACTGAGTTATGAGACAACCATATATTAGGAGCCTACAGCAGTGTGTTACAATCAGCAGTCTACAGTGGTGTCTGATGAGAATCAGGAGCTTACTGTTATGTCAGGAGACAACCCACCTATCATGAGCCTACAAGTTTCTGGATTGAACTGACTCCAGTTGCCATTCATGAGGGCTTGTTGCAGTTCCAGTGCTGTAATCTTGCCTGACCGGTCACGGTCAACTGACAGGAACCACTGGTGCACCTGGGGGTCCATCCCGGTTGGGGGAGCACCAAAACCTGAAACACAGCAACCACTGCCGATCACAATTTAACATCTACACAAGACATAAAATACTGTTTACAACTCAACTGATTCTGCTGTCGCACTGTCAAAGAAGGGGACTTCCCACATTGTCTGCACAATCTGGGCAATGTCATAGCAAGTTTACAATTGACATTGGGTCAAACAAACCAGATTTCAAAGTGTGATCAAACTGTAAAGATGGCCAACATTTGGGACTTGCATGAAACAGGTGAGGTGAAATGGGGTTTAACGTTGCGTGCTTGAGAATATTTCGCTCATGTGACGATGTGCATGCGTGTGTATGGGGATGTGCGGCTGCTAGTACTAGCCCAGACTTAAACTGGTTTTATAGTGCTAGCCAACTGAGATACCATACCGCAGTGAAGAATGAATACCCCAATCAGACACATTATACTGACTCCAAGCCGACCAGTCCTTGTTGTACCCATTAATGCGGAGTGCCAGGCAGGGACCAACAAGTACCATATTTTAACGTCTTTTGGTATGACACGGTCGGGGATCGAACCCGCGACCTTCCGCTCTCTGGGTGGACACTCTAACCACTACACCATGGAGGCAGTCTTGCATGAAAGAATATGTTCTGCATTCAACACACTATATGAACTATTATTTTGCAAATGTAAAGTTTCTTTTTTACTAGTGGTGCTCCGATTAACTGAAATAATCAAAGATTGGTCACAGTGATCAAATGACCAAGCAATCAATCACATCTTCTCATAGTTGAACACAAACAATTTTGAACTACTACTGTTTTAGTATTTGAAATACTTGACGATGGAACATATCTTTGATGTTCAAGGGCCTGAAAGCTTGTTTAATTATTAGAAAACTCACTTCACTTACTGAAAAGTCATGATTGAATAGTTCTTGAAGTCTCTGGGAAGCTTATGTTCATGATAAATTTGTCATCACTTTAAAGTAGCAAGCTGCATAATTTTACATTTGATGTGAAATTTGCAAATGCAATTTAAGAAATTGAAAACCAATTTTTTTCGATGACTGCTCATTGGTAATGAACAATCATCAATTGTGAGGTTTCAACCAATTCCCAACACTACTTTTTACTGGATTAGAATTCACAAATGTGTAAAAATGAAAGCAGAACTCACTCCTACACATATTGAAAAATAGGGTTATGAGACCATCACTGTTCCTGAGTTGATCTTTTCATGAAACTAATTATCGTAAGGATTATGGCGTCACAGACTTCATCAGTCACAGATATTCTCTCATGTCCAAGTTTCATTCACAGTGCTTTTGCCTCTTGAAATATAACTGCAAAATTCAATGAGAGTGATCAGCTGATGACACTATTCCAACTTGACAGAGTTTGTGCACCTATCCATCCCATCAATAAATACTGAACAAGAATTTATCATAAATAACCAATCTATTGAGAAAGTAGTACCTTACAGTACAGTTTAACAGTATATTACCTGCAGGTGCACCACCCCCATATGCAGGTTGTCCTGGCGCTCCATAGCCTCCTGGAGGTGGAGCCCCACCCCCATATCCTGGTTGCCCTGGGGCTGGGTAACCACCAGGTCGTTGCTGTGGTGGCTGCTGCTGCTGATATTGTGGGGCTCCATATCCCCCTGGGGGGCCCTACAACAGAACACCAGTTTTTTGCAAACACTGATCAAAATCAGTACTAAGTTTACTACATGGTTTTAGCATGATGATACATCAGATGGGGTGGATATTTCAAGAATATGCAAATTGAACATTGTGTATATTTCAGGAAAAATATACCACTGAACGGGTTAGCTGTGGGGTGCTGTTAGCCTGATAACCAAAATAAAATAACCAGGGATCGGGATAGAAGACTTTGGCAAAGGGCCATTTTCAGGATTATTAACCATTTTCTGAATTTAGAATGGGCCAATGCCCTTGTATCAATAGTAAACTTCAAAGTTTTAATGGGCCGTTTTTTAATCTAATGTGCAAAATCGCCCATGGCCCCTGCCTTTCCCAATCCGTGCATAACGTAAGGTTTAGCCAGAGTAAGTGAATGAGATAACACTGCTATCCAGTGTGTGTTTTCTAAAAATTGAACACGCCTTTTAGTATAAACCCAAGGGAGACGACTCTTGTTTGTGTAATGCATACAAACTACACTAAGTCTTCAATTTCAAAGATTTCTCCCAAATATTCGTAGGATTGACTTCGAATGACAAAAGCTTATTGGGAATCTGGGCATCCTTTGAAAAGTGACTGTCTAAAGTTTGGCAAAGAGATCTTGTGACTAAATATTACAGGAATGTGGTCACTTCCTCGTAAGTCCCGACCATCGGGCGGTTTAACCTTGAATACGGTAGTCGGAGAGTTGTTCAGAGATAAAACTAACAGCTAAAGCGATTTAACAGTGGTTTAAAAATATCCATACAACACACATACTCTCAAAACACCAGAATAATGGTCAATCACGAGCATTCGTTTACCTGTCCGTAAGGATAAGCCATCTTGGTCGTGTGTAAAGTTGTACACGTACTTGAAACGAATATTGAATCTATCAGGTAAATATAGGTCGTATTTCACAATAACGAAAGCTTGGCCATAGAGAGCGGGCGCGTTACACAATATCGTCGTATGTAGGTGGAACTTCTGTAAACATTGCTTGTGTATACAATGTTAGATTGTGAAATTTGGATATCAGCTATGAGCTATTCAGACGTCACAATACCGACATGACGTCATATCCCTTGAGTGCGAGCTCCGGTATAATCTATCAGTGACGGGATCAGTTACGTTGGCAAATGAGATCATTTACATCCAATGTTTAATTTGTAATCATCCAGACACCACATTTAAGATTTTAAGACAAGGTGTGAACCAATGTAAGAATGTCACTTATATATACATGTACAAGTATACATTGATGAAATTCATCAAATGTTCAACGCCCAATAACCTCATGAACAAAATAAGTGAAAGAAAATAAACCATGAGCTGTTTAAAGTTTTAATTGATCGTTATTGAAAAATGAAAACGACCATGTGGAATGACACGACGCATACATTATATTCAGTACGTGTAACTGCTATATAAGAAAACACAAACCCTGAATAGGAAACTGCATCGTTTAAAATAATGGTAGGTTACAGAAATACATGGAAGATAATATGAACTAAACTAAGCTTGGCATCAAGTGGTTGTAACTGTGACGATATGTCATCAGAAATTTGCAAATTTTGAGATTTCATTTTAAATGCATGCACATGAGTAAGCAGTATTTAGTGATGGAATTGATAGTTCTTTTAACGACTGATTTCAAGTTAACTAATGAAATAGATTCAGCTTAGGAATCAACAGTGTATGCGTGCGGGCGTTGGTGTGTACATGTATAGAAAATTGTTTCACGGATTCATGTGTACTAAAGATATGAAATGATTTCATACATGATGTCATCTTACTATATTTAATGCGCGATTGTGTACACATACAGTAGATATACAAGTTACAAACATGTAGTGCTTGTTAGTTTTACACCCATGAACCATACCGTAAGAGTACCGGGATTTCCCATAATTAAGCCCACTCAAAATTACACCCATGGGCTTAAAAACGGGTATTTTTCCATTATTAAGCCCATGGGCCTAAATTAAGATTTCAAATTTTATTGTTTAGAGTGACGTCCCTTTGCAAAAGCACATGGCGAACGTAAGCATATATAACTTTTGTAGTGCAGTTAGGGTTTTTCACGTGTACAGAACGTTTCGGAGTCGCAAGAGAGGTCAGGTACTCTATACTCAGATAGACAATCTCAATCCATATGACTCAAAAGTAGTCGCAATAAAATATGATAATATCATTATTAAAGTTCATTCCATTTTACTGTGTCTTAGAATAATTTTCTTCAGTTACAAGCATTTCCCGAGTTTAAGCCCTGGGCTTAATTATGGGGTTTATATTTGTTAACGAGGGGGTCATTTCCGTTATTAAGCCCATGGCTTAAATACGGGAAATCCCGGCAGTAAATCCTACATAAGCTTGCAATCAGCTAAATAGTTCTTGAAATGTTTGGTAGAATTTTAACAGTTGAGTGGTATTCCTGTCCATTCAGGTTCCAGTTGATAACTACGGAAGCGTTGAAGGGACCTCATGAAATAAAAATTATCTTGAGCGCACAAGTTAATATCTTGAGCGCTCAAGTTAGTTATCTTCAGCGCACAAGTTAATATCTTGAGCGCTCAAGTTAATATCTTGAGCACTCAAGTTAATATCGTGAGCGCACAAGTTACTTATCTTGAGCGCACAAGTTAATATCTTGAGCGCACAAGTTAGTTATCTTGAGCACACAAGTTACTTATCTTGAGCGCACAAGTTACTTATCTTGAGCGCACAAGTTAGTATCTTGAGCGCTCAACTTCGTGTTTAGCATCTAATGGCATTAATGGAACGCACATTTGCTTGACTGCTGGCTAAAATGTACAAACTTATATCCTTTTTGGAAGATTTCAAACGATGCAAAGTCGGAGTTAAGTATAGGTGTTTATGAAGAGACTATGTAAAAGTATACAAATGTATCATGAACATTGATAATGTTTCTGTAAACGTTCATTGTCTTTATGCTTGTCAATACTATTCTTTGTATCTGATTTTACCACTTTTTGCTTTATTACATAAAACAGGCCTAGGTATGTGTAATGTCATAATAAGAATTAAAACATAAACATGAGTAGGAGTTTATTGCAGGGATGAATAGTGGTTTTACTTACTTCTTATATTGGTACATAGTATTATGAACACTAGCGTAAAGCTTGGATAACTTGTTTTGTGCTACGGCTTTATTATGTATATATATAGTATTACATGAACATGACAAATGTAAACATTGAGTGTTATACTTAGTTATCTTAATTATAAAACTAATGTCTGATGTATTGGAAGTAAAGTCGACCACTTTCAGAGAACTATAGTCTGTAGTCTTGGTTTGCATGTATCAGTAATGTCTCCTAACGTGGGTACAATGGCAGTTTAACTCTGTACATTATCATATAAAACCCGCCTGATTAATTTCATCCATTAGTATGTGCACGTATAGCATACACACCGACTTTATTTCTAACTAAAATGCCATGTTCCCCGTTTTACTTCCTCCGTTTCAATCCCTTATGTATACGTATGTGTGTTGTAGTTTATTTAACATGTTTTAACAACACAGGAAGTTGAAGAATAAACACTTCGATGAAGACAGTGTCCTGAGCGAAATTCAACACCATCCGGGTCCAACAACGACCGTACAGTATCCTGTTTCACGATTAAACCGCATTGGATACATTTTTGATGCATCAACGATAACTTTGTTCAGATCGTCGAAGTTGTCCGCAATAAAGTATGTAACATCAGCGGTGTGCGTGTGTGTGTGTGTTGTGTGTGTGTGTGGTATTGTTAGTGGGGTAGCCTCGTGGTTAAAGCGTCCGCTCGTCACGCCTGGGTTCGATTCCCACATGGGTACAATGTGTGCAGCCCATTTCTCGTGTTCCCCACCGTGATATTGCTGGAATATTGCTAAAAGCGGTGTAAACCGTACTCACTCACTCACTGTAACATCAGCAAATCTGGTATCTGGTACGAAAGAGGGACATACACCCCAGAATACGCTTCAAGTGGCGTACTATACTATACCATGATTTTTGACAAGAAGATGTGTTATGTGTTTGTATTGGAACCCAAGACTGAAATAAGCATGAATCAGCTCGCGTTTCGTCCTCCTTGCTCCTCTTATGGAGCAGTTCCACATGAACTGCTTAAGATGGAGCAAGATATGTATCTCAATATATTAACTTGTGCACTCAAGATAACTAACTTGAGCGCTCAAGATATGAACTTGTGCGCTCAAGATATTAACTTGTGCGCTCAATATACTAACGTGTGCGCTCAGAATACTAACTTGTGCGCTCAAGATAAATTATATTTCATCAGGTCCATTCAGGTTCCAGCTGAAAACACTACATTTGAGAAAGCTTAAAGACTGTAAAGCAAAAACAAGTCCAGTGAAGGAATAACTGTCTGTTATCATCGTGGCCTTTTATCACTTTCATATAATATTATCACTCCCTTCCCTAAACACTGCAGAGTTTGTTTTGTTGGACCCACCTTTGACACGCCCACACATGTAAAATATGAAATCAAATCCCACAGAATTGGTCGCCATGGAGTACCTTAGATGACAACAAATGGGAAGCTCAGGCTAGATGACTTGGTTGATAGTGTGTACCGACCAACCATTAGTCTGGTTCATGTTCAGGCCAGTAGGAAATAGTTTGAGCGTTCTGACATTGGTGTAAAACGTCCCATATCTCCATAAAGCATGTTTTGTCTAGTACCTGATAGTGCAGTGGTACAGCTTGTTCAGCTTGACCTGATCAAGTGAATACTAATGCATTACGTGAACGTGTCACAACTGGTTAGGTCTATTATTGTTAAGGGGTGCATCTTTGTCAGTTGATTGTCAACATGTCCGAACAGCCGAGACAAAGTCGCCTTTTGACATCTCAGTGTCGAGAAATCGCCAGCAATGTCATAACTTTCTTTAAACTTAAAAAAGAAGCTACAGATGGTTTAATGTTTCCGATCTGGGCTTTTAGGCAGCGAGCAGCAGCATTAATAACATTCTCTGCTCCCCCTATTTAATGAAGTTAACTCGACCTGCCGTTAGTGCCATTTGACCTCCCGGGTCATGCTTATGTAGAGTAGCCCAGGTCAAGCTGAACAAGCTGTATCTCAGATGATTAACAAATTGAAGCTTAACTTGCAAATTGTGATGAAGTCATCATCAATCGTACTATGCCTCACATATTATGAGCGCTTCAATCAGTAATTTTGTATTCTTCTTCGTTGTCGAAGTTTTACGGTGCAGAAGTTTAGCGCATATTAAGAAAATCATACTTTTGAATTTGATCGGCCTCGTTTTACTGTTAAGCCTTCATTCCTATTCAATTGGCAACCCAGCTGCATCCACAGGGGCGTGTCACGCTTAGAAACAGCGTTATATATTACGAGTTGTTTCAAAACGTTTGAAATGCATTTGTCTAACAAAGGAAAATCCGCAAGATAAACAAGAAATTCTCAAAGAAATAGATGATATAAAGAGAAAACTTAATGATTTTGAAGAAAAAACACCTAAAGGAGCATTTATTAGATCAAAAGCCAAATGGATTGAGCAAGGTGAAAAACCAAGCAGATACTTCTTAAATTAAGAATTTAGAAACTTTCTAAATAAATCTATATCAGAAATAAAAAGAAAGGATGGAACAACAGTTAAAAAGCAAGAGGAACTAATAAAGGAAAATCAAATTTTATATAGAAAACTATATACAAGTGAAAATTGCACCCAACTAGATCTAGAGGTGAGGTGAGGTGAAATGGGGTTTTACGTCGTGCTTGAGAATATTTCGCTCATATGACGACGTGCATGCGTGTGTATGTGTATGTGCGGCTGCTTGTACTAGCCCAGACTGAAGCTGGTTTTATAGTGCTAGCCCACTGAGATACCATGCCGCAGTGAAGCATGAATACCCCACTCAGACACATTATACTGACTCCGAGCCGACCAGTCCTTGTTGTACCCATTAATGCCGAGAGCCAGGCAGGGACCAACAAGTACCATATTTTAACGTCTTTTGGTATGACGCGGTCGGGGAACGAACCCGCGACCTTCCGCTCCCCAGGCGGACGCTCTAACCACTACACCACGGAGGCGGTTAACTAGATCTAGATTCATTGCTTGGAAAATATGAAATACCAAAATTAAATGACATTGCCTCAGGTTTAGAGGGAGAACTAACCTATGAAGAAATTTTTGAAGCTTTAAAAAAAATGAAAAATGATAAGAGCCCAGTGCCAGACGGATTTACATCTGAATTCCTAAAATTCTTTTGGAATGATCTAAGCAGACTCTTGATAAACTCACTAAACTTTGCTTATAATAATGAAACTTTATTTGTAACACAGAAACAGGCATTGATTACATGTATACCTAAAGATAATAAACCAAAAATGTATTTGAAAAATTGGAGACCAATTTCACTTCTGAACACCTCCTACAAATTAGCTTCTGCTGCTAACAGATTAAAAAGAATATTACCAATAATAATAAATGAAGACCAAAAAGGATTTGTACCAGGTCGATATATAGGTGAAGTCACTGGATTAATTTATGACCTTATGGGATACACTGAATCTTACCAAATACCAGGTCTCTTAGTCCTTATTGATTTTGAAAAAGCATTCTGTAGACAGAAACTTTATATTAAACGTACTTAATTTTTTTAAAATTTGGACCAAGTATTCTAAGGTGGATAACTCTGAAAATATCTTACTTGGATATAAAGGAAGGAATAATGACTCATTAAATGCCATATGTCTTGTTGTTAAACAAGTCATATACTCCCAAAAGGTAAAAGAAGCAATCCTAAATTTCAAGCACGTACAAAGGGAGATAAGCAGATACTATGAAGCAACAATATATAGTGCCCTTTCAACATGTACTCCTATCTACTCCTTGAGGAGCATAGGGCCTCAACAGTTGTCCTCCACACTTGCCGGTCAGTGGCTATGCTCTTGGTAGCCTCCCAGGTTAAACTGGTTTCCCTCAGTTCCTTTTCCAGATTTCGTCTCCAGGGCCCACTTGCACAGAACAACCTTAGTTACAATCAATCTTAGGCCCCTACAATCAACTTTACAATCGCCATACATTTGCCCTAATCCACTTGCACAAAGCCGATCTTAGAGCGATTGTAAGACGGCGTGTATTTAAGATCGCGATCTTAGTTAAGATCGAACTCTTCAACGGTGGAAGTACGAATTTCTTAAACTCAACTCCCATCTACAGTTGTCTCAAAGTGCGCATAGCATGCTGCGCAAATAAAAAGTGATACTGGTCCCAGCACACAATACATACCTCCCTCAATCGCACCTTGCAGAATTTTCATGAAAAAGTCCCAGAAATCTTAGAAGGAACCGATTACGTGGGCGATAGCATATATTTTTCTACATTCTAACTGTCTTGATTTATGAACTGAGAATGTGATATTGCAACCACAGAAATACCTACCCATGTTTTATGAAAATACTGAAATAATGAAAAAATACATGAATAAATTTGGATCTAGATTTAGTGACCTTATTATGGAACTTAAAATAACAAATATAAACAGTATTTCCTTATGATATAACACCTAAATGTAGGATTTGCCAATGGTTGTCAATGAGACGTTGTTTAATACGCGGCTGCTGTTGGGGAGGGTAAAATCCTAAATATAACCTAGAATAAAATACAATAAAACAATGGCTACAGAAGTGTTGTAAAGAATGCTTGGCAGGGAAATACGTGCATTAAATAATATTTCAAGAGAGTAGTTATTAAATACGTAATCACAGTATATTAATTATTTAACCCAAGTGCGTTGATAAATATTTTTCTTAAAGTGAAATTCTTTTGAAACAGAAATTTTTAATACTCCATCATGTGTATATCCCTATTTGATGACTACTTGTATATATTTAAATTGCATAATCAAATTTAGATTTATGGATGAGAAAGAAACGTGATTTTGCACGTTAACTTGTATCTAATTGTAGATTACTTTAATGATAAACTAAGACAAAATCACTCCATGACCCGAAAAGAGATATCAGTATGTTGAGCTCTGCAATTGGGCATGAGGAGACTTGACGGCAACGGCATATGCCAAGGGAAACCACTCCCATCTTGCAGTATAAAGTAAAATTATCTGCTCTTGAGTTAATGAAAAGGTCAAGGCCATTGTTAATCGCACGCGGACACCATTCGCTATTATCCTTTCCTTGATTATCAAGAAGGTATGTTGTTTCACACTTATTCCAACATTGAATCGGGTGGGAATAGTACTTTGTGATATCGACTCGATAGTTATGTGTTCCACTACAGTAAATAACAATGTATCCGACGTTAATCGGTTGTGCATTCTCCATGTGTTGAAATGTCGAGGCGAACCACACAGTTTCATGCAATATAAATGCAATCTCCAAACGTAAAGCTGATTATTTGCGTGAAACAGACACTAATTTGAATGCCATTTCTAAAATGACTAAAATGATCTTAGCTCCTTACAATTGGTCCGGACCAATTGAAAGTTTTGATTGTAACTTACAATAATCTTAGCCTACAATTGCTTTGTGCAAGTAGATGGCGATTGTAACCGAAGCCTAAGATCGCGATCTTAAGGATTTACAATAACTGTAGCGCTAAGATCGTTCTGTGCAAGTGGGCCCAGGTCTGTTTTGGACCTCCTCTTTTCCTCTTGCCTTGTGGGTTCGTCAAGCGCTACATTTATCACAGAAAATTGAACACACTGCAAATCATTGAAATGACAGTTGCACACCTCCTCTCTCTCCCCGTGTAATTGTTTACATCATATGTGTGCCAAATAACAACCCTGGAGTGATGTAACTCACTGTCTCAAGTAGTCTGTCTCAGTCCCTGAACCACATTATTTTCCCATATTGCCTGGCTCTCCATGCAATGCTAAAGCCCTAATTCAGAGCAAATGTAGATTTCCTCAGGATCTTAATTTCTCCATCCACTGGGGCCCCTTTTCTGCACCATCAAAAGGACAGACAAAATCATGCAAGACAAATTTTGCTTGCACAAACAGCTACAATTTACAATCCAGCTTCTTTTCAGCTAAATTGTCTTTTGTCCAGATGTTCCCTGTCTAGCTTGACGGTGCAGAAATGACAAACGGAGGAACTGATGAGAGATCACTTGTCGCCCTTGGACATGGCAGCGGCTTCTTTGGCCTGGTGGGCTTGCAATACAGCAACAGCATCATCAACCTGGGGACAAAATAACATACTGATTAGCATTTCTAACATTAGAGAAAACACTCATTGACAGCATCAACCTATTCAATATCAAACAATCTATAGCCAAAATATTGTAACACAGCTATACAGTGAAAAGCTGTTATGAGGGTCAAGCTACCATGAGGATGTCACGTATACAGGAAACAGCTTGATTATTCAGACAGTTACGATCTATGACCCTCAGTTAAAAGACGGAGCTTACATAGTAAATTATGGGTCACTGTCACAGTACATCGCCCAAAACAGTAGGTGAGAGACAATGACCAGACACTTTAGACAGGGGTTATACGTCAAGTGCCAAATAACCAGGTGCGATAGGGGGAAGTGTCCTCATTCCAGTGCCGGAGATTAACAGTGATAGAGCAGTCGGAGACCGGCGGACCGAGGGTAAAAGGAGGTCACGATCCACTGCTGCTAAAAAGGCGAGGTTTTTGTTAGAGGCAGAGAGCAAGAAAGCGGTGAGACAGCAGGTGCGACTGACACACAACCTACAACTCCTCCAGCAGCACACAGCAGAAAAGGGAACCGAGCCAGAGCCAGAACCAGAGCCAATCCAGTTAGCTGTACTCTAGACTTTAATAAAAGTACCTTCCTGAATCAGCGTGCTGTGTTATTTACACGTAGGGACTCTTCTTTTGGTGCCGAGACCAGGATTCAGGAAAAGACATCAAGTACTAGGTAAGTGACTCTTGGTTTTCTCTCTGTTACCATCTCTCTCCTCGGGGACCATTTCTGACTGTGTGCATTATTGCTGGTAGTTGTTAGGTTTCTGTTACAATGGGAAAAACATTACTGTTGATAGTAGCATATTGATAACAAAGGTTGAGAAATAGGTTGTTGTGACAGTAAAAAAGGCAGTCTGAGGAATTTTATTTTGTCTAGGGCGTTTAAAAAGGTCGTCATGAAAAGTGCATAGAGAAGGTGTAGAAGCACTTTTAACCATATAGCAGTACAATTAGAGGAAAGCTACCGGAAACCATAATGGCCGGTATAGGGCCACTGTCAACCTTGGTAGAATCACAAATGGGACAACTGGCACTGAAGCGATAACTTCGCAGGGTTTATCACAATATGTGCAGCCATTTGAAGGAGATCCTAAGAAATTTAAAGAGTGGATAAAGTCCTTAGATAAGTATGTTAGCTTAGCAGTCATTCCAGTGGATAGGATAAGATTAGTGGCTTTTCAGAGTAGTCGGGGACCAGTAAGCGATTTTCTACAGAGATATATACAGGATAACCCAGGCGAGTACATGGGCGGTGGTTAAGAAGGAACTAACGTCACGTTTAGCCCGAGGTGATGACCTCAGTATGCATTATTACAAAAACTAAGGCAACACCAAGATGAAACAGTTCAGGTGTTAGGTGACGGCTTTCAGCCTTAGCGGAAGAGCTTATGTGGAACAAGCAGGCCGGGGAGTAATAGTGCAGTTGAGCGTCAACTGATAGGATTCTTTGTCGAAGGCGAGACACAACTATTAAAGATGAAAATTATGAGGGATAACCCGAATGAACATTGAGGAGCGTATTTACTGCAATGAAAGAGCAGAATTTAAGGAAGCGATTAGACTTAAGGCTAGGAACAAGTAGCAGGTTTGACAAGATAAACAGGAGGTTGACCATGACCGAGCTCCAAAGAAATGTTTCAAATGCGGGATAGTGGGACATAGGTCGAGAGAATGTAAGCAGGGAACAATCAATGCCGTTAGCTCCGACAACAGAAAGCAGGATACCCGGCTGTGCTGGTATTGCAACTGCCGGGCCATTTCAAATCACAATGCCCAAATAGGAGACAGGATATAAATGCAGGGCGGAGAGATCCTTGACCTTTAAACTAGAGTCGTCTCCTCCTGGAGAGTACAGAAGCGGAGACTACAGAGGAAAAACTTTCACTATCATTTTGGCGGGAAGTCAAATTCATGTATGTAATATCAATAGGAAAAGCGTAGATATAGGGCTTTAGGGTTCTGGGGCAGTGAGTATCATTAATTCATCCCAGGAATTTTTAAGAGGTATTGCGGGGACACCAACAACAACCTCAGCAAACATTTCCTTACAGTCAGTAGGCGGTAGCCCGATTGGCTGTGAAAGGATGTATCAAAGTACCGTTCAAGATAGGAAAGCAAACCATGGAACATACGTTCTATGTTGTCCAGAGAGCATCAATGCATGATGTAATTCTGGGTCGTGAGTGGCTAACAGAAAATGGGGTAAGGCTCTATTTCGACCTGGGGCGACTAAAAGTAGGTGAAGCCTATGTTCCCTTAGAGGAGGATATACAAGTAGCGTCGGTAATCAGACTCACAACCAAGTCGGTCGTCAAACCCCAAACAGTTAATGTAGTCAAGGCTCGTGCTGGGAAAAAGACATATTTCGATACCACCACTTTGTAAGAAATTAAAGGAAATGGGGAAGACTACATCAATTCTGAATAAGAAAGGAGAAATCCCCGTAATGATAGTAAATAACACAAATAAGACCTTCCGGCTAAACAAGGGATGTATCATGGGGAAAATAGAAGCCGTGCCTGGGGCAATAGAAATTGAACTGTAGGTTTGAAAGATATGAGATGGAATGAAACCCAAAGCGACAGGACTACTTAATGAGACAGCTGAGGCAGAGATTAATGTACCTGGCGAACACAGGGAAGATATCACAAAACTGCTCAGCAGGAACAAGGACTTGTTTGCACTGGCCGGACATGGACTTGAGTCATACTGACACAGTTAAGATGAAATAAGACACAGGTGACCATGCTGACAATTAAACTGAAACCTTACAGGACTCCCTTGAACAAAAGAAAGATAGTAGATAAAGCAATAGATGACATGTTAGCAGGGGTTATCAACAGATCTAGGTCACCATGGAGTTTTCCCATTGTAGTAGTAGACAAACAAGACGGAAGTAAAAGCGGCTTTTGCGTGGACTTTAGATCATTGAACCGTGTGTGTGAAACCCGATGCTCGCATCCTCTGCCGATTATTGACGATATTTTGGCATTGTTAGGTGATGCCACATATTTCAGTTCGCTGGATTTAAAATCAGTCTATTGGCAGGTGTTAATGGACGAGAAGGACTGCGAAGCTTTTGCTATCGCGTATCTGGATGATATACTGATATTCTCATCAAACAAGGATGAGCACATCAAGCACATTGGAATAGTGCTTGACAAACTGCGAGAACACAGTCTCAAATTAAAGTTGAGTAAGTGCAGCTTTATGAAGGAAGAGACGAATTATCTGGGTTTCATTATCAACAAGGATGGAGTGAAACCAGACATGAGAAAGGTGGAGGCCATAAGGTCAATGCCCCCCTCCTTCCACACGGTTAGGGAGGTCAGAAGCTTTATGGGAATGTGCAGCTACTGCAGGAGGTTTATATCAAATTTTTCAAAAGTAGCTGAACCCATAATGGCGCTGACAAAGAATGCCAAGTTCAAATGGTCAACAGAGTGTCAAGAAGCGTTGATTTCTTGAAAGACTACCTGACTGTTGTCCCATTGTTGGCATACCCTGACCTGAACAAGCCACATGTGTTATACACAGATGCTAGTGACACATGTGTTGGGCGTGTCTGACTCCAGACCTGTGGCGAGGATACGGATCTCCTCCCAGGTATTACGCCAATGGGAAACCAATCTACTTTTTGTCCCATAAACTAAGTGATTCCCAGACTAAAGTGGTCCACAATAGAAAAGAAGCTTATGCTATTCATTATGCATTACAGAAGCTAGATTACTACTTACACAATGCAGAATTCATCATTAGAATTGACCACAAACCACTTAGGTATCTACTAGAATCTCCAATGCAGAACAGGAAGATTCAAATGTGGACAATTGGAATTAGTGGCTATAATTGCAAGATCGAATATATTGCAGGCACTGATAATACTAGCGCTGACCTATTGTCCAGGCTGCCGAGGTCAAACCAAAAGTAGAAGATAGGGTGTATGACATTGACCAAAGACCCCAGGGCGAGATCGAAATTAGTGACAACACATTCCAAATCAATGCACTAAATTGAATAGGTTTTGCCCCAAAGACATATGCTAGTTCTAGCAGTTGAAACACAGAAACCCCTGTTAGATCCAAAGTAGGAATAATAGGGATATGACATGGCAACCGAGCAAGCAAAGATGTCAGGATTATGGAGGCAAAGAGCTCTTCAAACAGGACAGGCAGGCAAGATAGAGCAGAATAGGGTAATCATCATGAATGATGTGGTATACTATATATCTGACCCTAATGATGACCCAATCACTGCGCCTGTGAGTACCAACACAGCTTCAGGGTTTAGTTGTGAAGCAATACCATGATGACAATTGACATATGGGTATTGACAAAGCGTATGACTCCATCAAGCAAAATATTACTGGCCTAAGATGTATAAACACCTTTATGAACACATCAATCAGTCGTCCCTTGTCAGGAAAAGAGTAATGAGAACACAAAACACCCATTCAGGAAACAGACATCCCTCCTTACCCATTAAGTAAAAATAGGATTAGACTTGTAGGGACCCTATCGAGGTCTCTCTCTGGGAATAGATACATCATCAGTTTTGTAGATCATTATAGTGGATGGCCAGAGGCTTTTGCTGTACCTGACAAAAGTGCAGAAAATGTAACGCATCTGTTAATTGAAGTGATTTTCCCCAGATTTGGCTGCCCCTTACAAATAGTCACAGATAATGGCACTGAAAACGTGAATAGAGTAATGAGAGAAACCTTGGAGACACTAAACATTGATCACATCACTACGTCCTACTACCGACCCCAGGGAAATGCTAGGGTAGAAAGATTCCACAGAACCCTTCATGACGTGCTCTAGGGACCTATATTTGAACCAAGCATTGGCTGCAGTTCGCTTTAATATTAGTGAATCTTCCAAATTCTCTCCTTACTTCCTGCTATACAATAGGGATGTTGTGTTACCCTTAGATAACCTCTAGATAAGATAGCTAGGAGATACAGGAAAGAAAGAGATGACTCTTCCGACAAGGCGATATTCCCCGCATGGAATTATCTAGACGTATGAAGAGTCGGTTACAACAAGCACATTCTGAAAGTAGCTGAAATAACAAACAAAAGGGTAAGAATTGCTGGACCCACAAAACATGACCCTATTCTTAGCAATGATGAGTATAGTGATGAACTAGATGACGCAGACACTGAATTGATGGAGATCAATGTTATTGTCGGTAATAGGCAACACACAGAAACAGGCGGTCACAAAGAACCTAGCATAAAGACAAAGCGATTACTGGAGGCAATTGTAGGCCTTTTGTAATGTTGAATCATCCTGGGAATGGGATGTAGGAAACAAAAAGGAATGATAGGTTATTTTGTTGTTATCTCTGTTCACAGGAACATGACAGCATCGGTAATCTCCTTTCTCCTAGGGTTAACCATGGTTAATTCATTGCTAATCCGTGAAAATGTAGTATTCCAGAAAGTAAAGGACATTTCTATTATGAGGTCACATTGGCTGGTGACGTTTGTCATAGACCTAGAACCCTATGAACGGCTTATTGACAAGCTAGAAACAGATATAGAGGGTGTTGAAAGAGTTACAACTATAATCCTACGAAGAAGGATATTTTTGTATTATTCAGTGGTTTAAGCAGTGATATTTCATCACTAAATTTGAGCTACACAAGTAAAGCTGAAGGAAATGTTCCAGGACATTCAGACTTTAAGTAGAGGTAGATCTAAGCGATCCGTATTGCCATTTGTGGGGAAAGCATTGAGTTTTCTGTTCGGCACAGTCTCGGAAGAAGACCTTGATGCAATACACAAAAATGTGGAAATTTTATTTAAGAATCAGAAAGCTTTAACTCATGTTGTCGAAGAAAGTCTATCCATATTGAACACTTCTAGGGTTGAGATTTCAGAAAATAGGCATATGATCAATGAACTGGCAGTTGACTTACACAAAGTAGATATGAAGTTCCTTAATATCACGAGAACTTTGGAAGACAAAATGCTGAAGTTTGAGCGATACGTGATAGCGTTATCTGGGATGTTCTCTGGTGGGTGGGAGAAATTCGGAAATTATTCAGAAAGCGATGTTTTATCTACAACATCTTCAGTTACAGTTAAACATCCTGGCACTAGGAAGATTGACACCTAGTACTATCACACCTACTAATCTGAAGAAATTACTTCTTAACATTAGTACCCATTTACCTCATACGGTACAATTGCCAGGAGATCCTAGTAAAGAGTTATGGCGTTTTATAGGACCCTACAAAGTTCTCACGGTTATATATGAGCATAAAATCTTAGTGATCTTGAAAATTCCCTTATTAGATGTTAATGGGAAATATGAAATTTATAAGGAACATAATCTACCAGTACCAAGGTTTATAGAGAAACTACAGACTAGCGAATTAGGTGACATGGTTGCACAATACCAGCTTCGAAGCGAGTAAACTGCGGTAAATGTTGAGCAAACCAAATTCGTATTACTAACCTCGGAGGAATTAGAAATATGCACTAAGCCGGTAACTGGTTAGTGTTCTATTAAAAGTCCTGTTTATCCTATAAACCTAAGTAAGCTGTGTATAACTACTTTATTCATGAACAGAAAAGTTGACTTTGAAAACAAATGCAAAGCCATTATCAGGTTAAATTCTGTCTTGCCTTTAGCAGAATATCTGTCAGATGGCGTATGGGTAGTAACAACAATGATAAAACTAATCTTCTCAGTAATCAGCCATGATAATGCAGCGGTAGCCTCGACGGTCATCGTTGAACCGCCATTGGGCATAGTCAGGCTTAATATGGGTTGTTACGCCTCGAATGATCACATAACCGTACCTCCACATTACCAGAAGCAGAGTCAGTTCAACATTGAACAATCCTTCTTTGAGGCTGTTAAGGTATTTAACCTTACAAGTCTAAAATGGTGGGAACCTGTTCACTCTGCCCTTAGTAAGGCGAATACTGCTTGAAATTGCCAAAATCAGCTGAGAGACCTCGAAGCGATATCTATGGACCAGTTAGTAAATGAACTCAGGGGTATGCAGAATCAGGTCATAGAAGATAGGAAACCAAAATGGCCGGTATGCCATATTGGCAATAGCAATTACGGTTAGCACCATAGGGATAGTCCTAGGATACAGTAGGTTTAAGAAATGGTTAATCCGAAGATTGAGAGGTTGGAGAGATACCAGGGCACTACTAGTTCTGCGAGATGGCGCCGGTTAATTGGAAGAGGTTTCTACCTTAAGACCACGGTGGTTGTTGTCTTGCGGAGGCGAGGAAAGAAACACAGGAGTGGTCATGGGACACCAGGTGGCGGCGGCCGAGCCAGAGGGGCAGGGACATTGCCCACAGAGGGGAACACCCTCTGCGCCATTCACAGGAGAGGAAGGCATCTAGGAACAGTGCAGTCGTCACCTCTATCCAGCTTTCCAATGAGAGAGACAGGGGGTGTCCGGGGAAAGGCCAGGAAGCGTGAAAGTGTTTTCATCTAACAATGCGGCGGTGTGTGCCTTTGGGGAGTGATCTCGGGACGAAGCGTCCCCTAGCGTGTATATAAACTGGGGACCACCACAGTGCAATCAGTGAGTGGCATAGATTCCCCAGTTGCACAGAGGAATATCGGCTAATATTCCCCCTTAAAGAAGTGGAGTGGGTCCACTGAAGTTAAAGAACTCTTGTTGACTTTTTAATACTTGGAGAGAAAATGGTGTACAAAATGGTCAAACACGGGTACATAAATCAGTGTGGTGAGCAGGACTGCTGATAAACCCCGTGGACCAACATAATCTCGATACAATAGATGCGAGGACACTGACTGGGTGTGTACATATATTGTACCAATCACTAGATCTATGGTTGTATTAATGATATAGATATGAATTGATGTTAATAGATCTGTGATTGTATTAGCTATAAATATGAATTTGTACTGATAATAGATCCATGATGGTATTTGATAATGTAGATATGTTGATGCCTATATTATGCATATGAACAAACTGTGATTGGCTGGAAGTGGTTATCAGCTCTGAAATTGGCTCAGATGGAACTTTAGGTTCTGAAGAAATCTCCTCGGATATTTCTTATTAGGAGAAGCGAAGTGTAACACAGCTATACAGTGAAAAGCTGTTCACGAGGGGTGAAGCTGCCATGAGGATGGTCGCGTATACAGGAAACAGCATGATTATTAGGACGAGTTCACGATCTATGACCCTCAGTTAAAAGGCGTAGCTTACATAGTAAATTATGGGTCACTGTCACAGTACATAAGCCCAAAACAGTAGGCGAGACAATGACCAGACACTTCAGACAGGGTTATATGTCAGGTGCCAAATAACCAGGTGCGATAGCCGAGGCTATGGGGAAGTGTCCTCATTCCAGTGCCGGAGATTAATCGTGATAAGGCCGGTCAAGACCGGCGTGACCGAGGTAAAAGGAGTCACGATCCACTGCCTTTAAAAGCGAGGTTTTGTTAGAGAGGCAGAGAGCAAGAAAGCGGGATGAGACAACAGAATGCGACTGACACACAACCTACAACTCCTCCAGCAGCACACAGCAGAAAAGGGAACCGAGCCAGAGCCAGAGCCAGAGCCAATCCAGTTAGCTGTACTCTAGACTTTAATAAAAGTACCTTCCTGAATCAGCGGAGCGTGTTGTTACAAATTTTGAAAGCTGTTTTCATTCTCAGTGCTTTGCCAAGTATGATCTTATCAAGACCGGGAATTACAAACATATCAATTCGATACTGTATCCAGTTTTACAGAAAATTCACTCAAAAAGGATTACAAGACAATAAATCTGAAAAATACTTTACTCAAAAGGTAAACCCTCAATTCTGTTATTTCACTGAGGTAATTATGTCTGGTGGATATTGCACAGTAGTACACAGAGATAATTTCTTTGCTCCACCTACCTTTGCCTTGAGAGTCTCGTTTGACTCCAACATATGAAGAAGTTCTGAGTTGTCGATCTCGAGCAACATGCAAGTGATTTTTCCAGCAAGCTCGGGGTACATCCTCTGGATCAGAGGGAACAGCCTCTCTCCTAGCATCTGCTTCTGTTCCTGTGGTGGTGCAGCAGCCCACATGGAGGCTGTCAGAGGCTCCTGCCCTGGGATGACAACCGACTGCTGGGGCATTGGCTGGGCATTGACAACTGCAAGGACAGCTGGCTGATCAGCTCGTGGGGCAGTGGTGCGCATCTGGCCACTGGCAGGCATGCCTTGGAAACCTGCAAAATACAACAGGTCAGTTTTTGCAGGGTAGTTAATTTACAGCACTTCTTTAAATCTTTCAAAACAGCTGGAGACTACTTCCATGTAAACCGAACTATAGCAAAGTTCAGAAGTGACTCATTAGAATTCCTGTGAACAGTCTTATAACTTGTTACACAAGCAAGTGTACAATGTTCAATTACAGGTTTAGCTACATCTTTAAAACTGGATCAACTAATGTTTAGTCTAACAAATACTTCTGTACATTCAGCACATACCCAATTTCTTGGAGACGAAAAATGTAATTTTTCAAGTAAAATTTATATTTTTATACTTATCCTGACTCATGATCTTTTGCTTATCTCCCTTTCCCTTGCGAATGGTAGTGGAACACTTGAAGCCCTTGAAGTTCCCGCAGCGGACGTTAAAAAACACTCACCCACGAGTTACCTCCCTTTTGCCCTTTCCCACACAAACAGTCATGTGACCAGCCTTACTTGTCACTCTCTCCTGATTTTTCTGCCCATGCACTTGGATCTGCTGTGAAATCCAAAGTGTTTCCAGCAGGCAGGATGGGAGGGCTTCTCGTCATGAGTCAGGATTAGTATAAAAATATCCATTTTGCTTATAGATTCCGACGGATTGGTGGTGGGTCAAGCCACTTCGTGGATTCATCAGCTGTCCTTAGATACGTCCTGTATCCCCCCATGGGAACTGCGAAATGGCATTTCCGTGATCCTATTCTTCCAACTTCCTTTATAACTCGGGGGGACCACTTTCTTGTCTTACTTCCGTCTCAGACAAGTTGAGTTATCTTGATTCATGTGGCTTAAGATATACTTGTATCTTCTTTTTACTAGATACCAATAACAACCCATAGATTAAGATAAGATCTTTGTCATAAATGAGTTGCGACTCCTTCACTACAGGTAAGATCTTTACCCATACAGCATCTTTAATCACTCATGCTAGTCTGTCCTAGACTGTGCGCATGGACTTTCAAACTAATACCTTTCCTTAGTAAAAGTTATCAACAAGTCAACATGATAAAGGGTGAGATTTTCCAACTCAGCACCTTTGAGGAACGGCTAGTTGCTGTGCTACAACGAGAGGCCCAAATTGGTAAATGCCTGAGACGTCTTCGGTGGCTATGTCTCGGAGGTAGTGGTTGGCAAACACCATGTCCTACTTCCAAAAGCAGCCCTCCATAATTGCTGATATAGAGCAATTTCCGTGCAGAGCTAGTGTTGATGCCAGTGCTCTGACTTCGTGTGAGTTGGAAGCTGTTGGAGGTTCTAGTCCTGCTGCTTTGTAGGCTCTCAATATGACGGCTCTCATCCAGAATGATATCGTCCATTCTTGAGACTTCAGCTGATGTCTCTGTGGATAATGGGATGAACAGGCGCTTGCATTTTCGTCTCCTTGTCTTAAGTATTTTGAAGATATATCTTCAGAGCTCTAACCGGACACAAGGATAGGTCCTCTATATTCTCTGGTTCGAGGATTGTAGATAACGCTGATACGTGGAACTGTCTATCTGGCTGACCAGGTGGTTGGTTCTTGGTAATGAAGTCCCATCTAAGTCCTAGATGAACTGCAGCATGTTGCCCCGTGTCGAATCTGGTTCGACCAAAGTCCAGCGCGTGTATCTCTGATATTCAAGCTGCCGTGGCTAGCGCAAGCAGGAACAGAGTCTTCTGTGTCAGCAACTCAAAGGTAGTCTGGTCTAGAGGTTAGTAGGCATCACTCGTAAGATGACGTAGAATTACATTCAGATCCCAGGCCGGAGGTCTGAACTTCTGTTGCTGGTCCTCCAGTTTAAAAGATCTCAGCAGAGCAAGTAATTCTGGTACTTTCGTCAACTTGATGCCTGTTTTCATGGTAACCACTGTACTGATGGCAGCGAGGTATGTAGATAATGTCGAACCTTTCAGATGTCTATTCTGTCTAAGATGACACAGGTATTCCGCCACTTAAGGATGAGTAACTTTCATAGCAATGAAGCCTTTCCGCCTTGCTTAAGTCTCACACTTCAGCCACTTGTGTGCGGATGTATGAGTAGGTTCGGCCAATCTGGTAACTTGATTGTTAGACTTCCGAGATCTTCTATTAGGTCTAGGAACTCTACTCTCGCTGGCCAAAGTCAGTTGTAGCGCCTGCGTCTGTTTGATCTTCAACAGTACTTTCGGTAGTAATATCAGTGGTGGAAACGCATAAGCGTTTAGTCCTTCCCATGATATGCTCAGTGCATCTGTTGTCCAGGCTTGAGGATCTGGAACTGGTGAGACAAACGTCTGTAGTTGCTTGTTGAACCTCGTGGCAAACAGGTCTATGCATGGGCATCCTGTTTCCCTTATGATGAGTCGAAATGCTTCTGGATGGAGCATCCATTCCGTAGACGGGTGCAGTGGTCGTGAGAGAGCGTCTGAAAGCACGTTCTTGGCTCCGGGTATGTGACACTCCTTTATCCAGATGTTTGCCTCCTCCGTGATGTCAAACAACTGGAATGTGAGCTGTAGTAGGCTTGGTGATCTTGTAGATCCTTTCTGACTTATGGAGAATGCCACTGTAGAGATGTCCGTGTCGACCATCAGCATTCTGTTGATCAGCAAGCTCGACACTAGTTGTAAGGTGTTGATCGCAGATTGATGTGAAGATGCTGCTGCTGTTTTGGACCACTTCCATGATGCAACTAGTTTGTTGAGATGTGCACCCCAACCTTGAATCATTGGGTCTATGTAGAGATGTGTGTCAAAGGCCGGCTCTTGTAAATAGGTCCCTCCGCAGACGTTCGACCTGTGGGTCCACCAAAGTAGGTACCTCTTAAGATTGTCTGGCAGCAAGATAGGGTCAACGCTGTCCAGATGTTTTGTTGCAGCGGCCTTAGTTGTAACCTTCCTGTGCGAGTCAAGTCCTGCGCCGAGGTTAGTAGACTGGGTAGAACTTGCCATGATCGTAGTGTTAATCATGGCTTGTATCTTGACCCAATGATCTTCTGGGACCACAATTCGATTCTGTGTTGTGATAATTCTTATTCCCAGCAATTGAAGATCTTGTTTGATTCTAACTCCAATTTCATCGTGTTCACTAGCCATCCTACTTGCAGGAGCAACTTAATTGTGAAGTTCAGCTGCTGTCTGAGTTGATTGGCACTTTGAAGAACCTGTATGCTGTCGTCCAGATAACCGGCACTGCGTAGACCTCGATGCTGCAGATAGGTGCCGATACGCTTGGTTATTCGTATGAAAAGGGAGAGAGTGACAAGTAAGGCTGGCCACATGACTGTTTGCGCGGGAAAGGGCAAAAGGGGGGTACCTCATGGGTGAGTGTAGTTTTACGTCCGCTTCGGGAACTTCAAGGGCTTCAAGTGTTCCACTGCCATTCGCAAGGTAAAGGGAGATAAGCAAAAGATCATGAGTCAGGATAAGAAAAAAATAAAGACTTCTGAAATGCTCCTACAAGCTTTTTACAATAGAAGGGTCAACTGGCTAAACATTTAAACTCACCAGCAGTTGGCTGCGTGGGTCGGACTTGGGTCTGCCACCTGGGACTGGCTCTGACCTGGGGCATCTGTGTTGGTGCAAAGAATCCACGCTGGGCTTGGGGCATGGTGGGCACAGCTGGCTGGAACATCTGGCTAAACTGTGAGGTTTGCTGAAGAAGACAATTACAAATATGTAACAAATCATTCACATCATAACTAATTGTGAACCTGAGCTTTTTTTTATTACTTTCAATGTGTCAAGTATAGAAGGAGAGTTAAGTATAGCAGATTGTGGACAACAATTGAAAGATCTGTAATTTAATTAACAGTACACTGTACCATTGCCCAAAAAACTAGGCACAGCAGTTTCCTGTCATCAGGATGAAAGATGTTCTATGGCCATGTTTTCCGAGCAATCCATTGTCTCGGACACTGATCCAAAATGACTGAAGACTTTATATAACCTGTAAATGTTTATGTAGCAAAACCATGTTTACCTGTTGTCTCATTGTGGTCATTCTCTGCATGTACTGTGAGGCGAGGTGAGCTTGTCTGTCCTCCTTGCGCTGGGCCAGAGCCACATACAGAGGTTTTGACACAATGATACGACCATTCATCTCCGTCACAGCCTTGGTTGCCTCCTCTGGAGAGCTAAAGCACACAAAGCCGAAGCCTTTGGACCGCCCACCTTCACTCATGACCTAGAAAGATTTATAAACAAAATACCAACATTAGCCATACAGCATCTTTGTTCCAAGGTAAAAAACTCAAAGTATAAAAGCATGGAATGATTAACCAATTTGTTAGAAACCAGCTGGAAATTCAATGAATCTTTTACGAATATACAGGCAAGTGATCACAGAAACCTCTCATGGAAACTGTGCCATATGGATACACTTGTCTGATGTTCAATATTGCCCAGTATTAAGGAGGTGAACAGCTATTTTGGTAAAGCTACACACCAGGGTGTCTGGGCATGATACAATATCAACCATTTATGAAATCTTCCACAAAACAAAAGTTTACTTACTCTAGCACTGGTGATGGTTCCAAACTGTGAGAACTCCTTCCTAAGTCTCTCGTCATCAACCACATCATCCAGATTTTTTACATTCAGTTTCACACCCTGGTATCGGTTGATCCTCTCCATTTTGATCTTCTCAAACTTGTCCTTCAGTTCAGCTTGACATTCTGCTTTCTTTTGTGAACGCCCAGCATACAACACCTTCCCCCCTCCAAGCTCCATGCCGTTCAAGTTGTCTACGGCCTACCAAACAAACATTACTTTATTATATAAAGACAGATTTAACTCTTCAGCCAACTTAAGTAAAAGGGGTAGTATGGGTTTTTTTCACTAACATGTGTAACAATGATTAGAATGTGATCCAAAAGCTTGACAATATAAAAAACACACCCAAAAAACACATTTGGCTTAATGTTGCAAGAACACAGGTAGTGTTAATGTGACACGTCCACAAGAGCCAATTAGATCAAGTGTTACTTATCAACTAACACAATACACACCTTCTCAGCTGCCTCAGGTTCTTCGTAGCTAACAAAACCAAACCCTCTAGACTTGCCAATTTCATCAGTCATAACCTGCAAACAAACATTCAATTCAGTCACATACAGTTCCCAAAGGTTAAACCCACACCTGTTTATGTCATGTAACTTCAATGTAACTTCAGAATATCCTGATGTAGAATAGGTTATAGGTTATAATTAGTGATCATTTACCATGCCAGGCAAAATGTTGCTTGAGCTATTTCAAACAATTACAGACAAAAGTTTGCCTATTCATTATGAACTTTGGTGAATTTATCGTCAGGTGACTTGTAACATATCAAATGTTGAGATTAACCGAGCGTTTTTGTAAAAGGTCATACCTTGGCACTTATGATCTTGCCAAATGGATCAAACAATTCCCTAATCTTGTCATCATCTAACTCATCTCCGAAGTTCTTGATGTAAACATTGTTGAAGCGTTTCATCTTGTCACCAAGGAGGGCGATTCGCTCTTTCCTAGGGATGAACTTGCCAACATACCTGTTACAAAGAGGGAGAAAGAAAGTAAGGAAAGCTGCTAAAATGCACTACATTATACATGTAAAATTGTAGCTCATGCACAAGAACCTTTCTTTAGAAAGCACTTGTTTGAATTCTCAGTTTAAAACCATGACTCTAGCATTTCCAGGTGACATAAAATACCCCTAACCAACATTTCTGGAAAGAAACAAGTATCTTCACGTTCCATTTAGAGTCACTTTGAAACGTGTAACTAGCATGCAGAAATGTCAGACCATGCCTAAAAGACTAGTTTCATGTATGCAAAACCAGAACTGATTTAATTCATAGAACTAAACGTTTAAAGGCTTTGAATGGTATTCATATGCAAATGAGGAACGTATGAACATGAACTTCTGTAATGAGGAATAATGTTTCAGAGTATGTCCTTAATCCTCCACCTGATGTAGTAATGTACTCTGAAATGTTCATTATATTACAAAGTTGATGTCCATCAATTCCCCTTCAATTCAATGTGATTAAAAAGCAACCAGACTGAAATCTCCCAGTGCATTATAATTGGTTAACCCCATAGGATCTTCCACAAAGTATGAACAGACATGTAATCATGGGCAAGAGAAAACCTGTGTTAGGATTTATTGTGACTAACATTGCACATCATTATTAGACAGCACCATGGCCACTATATGCAACTGAATGCACTCATGCTCCTCAGTATCAAAGATGTCATCTGACAACTAAACAGGTAAGGATTGGTGACTTTTGGGTCACCAACACAATGCAAACATCTTTGGTATCAACCGAAGTGACGAGCATGGCATGGAATCAATACCATACGGCTGAATCAGCTTCCCAGGAACATGCAGGTGGTCAACACTGTTCCAAAACAGCAAGACCATTATCTCTCAACTGCAGAGACATTACTTCACCTCTCAAAAGTGACCTTGTGAACATCTGAGACATTAAAATGTCTGCTTGATGTGTAATCATCACATTGGGGAAGCATTCGCAAACGACTTATGACCTCACAGGCAGATACCTTGTGATTGGGCTGAAGATGTCAGTTTGACAGAAATTATCTGCACCACTGAGCAGCCTTCAACAATTTCGCTGAAGCTTCAAACTTTCAGTCTTGGTCAGATACTCGTTTTCACGGATGATCAGACTGCTTCTTGGCCACACATTTGTTGGCATTGTCTAACATGCGGGGCATTTTCCTTCATTAAAGGTCACATGCAACGTAAAACACAACTTTGCAGATTCTGATACCTTTCGGTATGGACATACCGAAACAAATCGTCAAAAATGCAAATTCAACTCATAAAATTGAAAAATAACGCGATGAAACAAAACGCGCGAAATCGGAGTTCAAATGTTTCACTAATTTTCCCCAGACTTTTCTGGGGAAAACGGGTTTCAACAGCTGGGCTGCACTCATAGCACGTGCGCAAGTAAATAGGTTCGCGCAGCTTGGAAGCGGGTTGTCCGGTGAATACTCGGTGAAGGCTTCGGTGTGAGCTATTTTTCTAAGTTCAATACTTAAAAGCAATGTCATTATTTAACGTTGACAGAATTTCTACCTGTGATATAGATATGTCGTTGTCACAGACAAAACTCAATGTCTTGTTTTATTGACACCTGTGTGTCTGCCTGCCTGTCTGCTAATGACAATATTCAATACACAGCTGCTATCACTGACCACATGCAATTTGAACTTAACACCAATCAGGCTATACACCATAAACAAAATGCATTGATTTATGGCCCGAGTTCGGTCTCTGGCACATTATATAATTACACAGACAGGCAGGTGTGATACTTGAACACATGACATGTTATGATGTCTGTTGATTGCAAAATGTTATACACAAAAAATGAGCATGTATTTACAAAACCCAACATCTCTCTCTATATATATACACACAATTAGCCGTGAAGGCATCTGCAAATGAACCAGCCGTTACACTTGAGTGCACACCAACCTGCTCTGACTGGGTTCAGTATCCCAACTGCTTCGTTTCTTGGGAAGTAAACCGAAGTACACAATTTTGCACTTTCGATTTGCAATTGTACGCTTATAATTTTGTTTATATATTTTTTTCGTAACCAGCAATGTATATTATATGTCATGAATAAGTGATAATTGTGTTGTAATTATGTTTGATTTTTTGGTTGCTTGTGACCTTTAAACATGTTTTCAAGCAATATCATCTTTGACTACCTTAAAGGTCACATGCAACAAAAAAATTGTGTATTGAATATTGTCATTAGCAGACAGGCAGGCAGACACACAGGTGTCAATAAAACAAGATATTGAGTTTTGTCTGTGACAACGACATATCTATATCACAGGTAGAAATTCTGTCAACACTAAATAATGACATTGCTTTTAAGTATCGAACTGAGAAAGTGACTTGGAGAGAAGAACGTGTGGTGAAATAGACAAATGAAATTACATAAACAGTTAATTTACTGTCATAACATAGCAAAAGCTCACGCCAGTGAGATATCAACAAAACATTAGCAAAATAGCTCACACCAAAGCCTTCACCGAGTATTCACCGGACAACCCGCTTCCAAGTTGCGCGAACCTATTTCACTGCTTGCGTGTTATGGCGAGCGCCAGCTGTTGGAACTTGAATTCCCCAAACGCTGGGGAAATTTAGTGAATCGTTTGAACTAAGATTTCAGCGTGGTTTTTCATTGCGTATGCTATTTTTCAACTTTATAAGTTGAATTTGCATTTTTGATGATTTGTTTCGGTAAGTCCATACCGAAAGATATCAGAATCTGCAAAGTTGTGTTTTAAGTTGCATGTGACCTTTAACAGATGTACACAATTTGATGCAGTTATGATTCCTAACATACAGTTGCATATGTCAGGAAAATGTAATTTTCTGATTAAAATTTATATTTTATACTTATCCTGACTCATGCTTAATTGCTTGTCTTCTTCTTCTTGCAAACTATAGTGGAACACTTGAATCCCCTTTTGAAGCTCCCTTCAAAAAAGTGGACGTAAAATCACTCACCCCAGTAGTCTCCCTTTCCCCCATCTTTTGGCGCGAAAAGTTGGTCACATGATCGGCCATGCTTGTCACTCTCTCCGTATGTTCAAGCCCGACACTAGGATTTACAGGGAAATCCAGAGTGCCATGAGGGGAGGTTGGGAAGCCTAACCTCATGAGTCAGGATAAGTAAAAAATATCAATTTTAATCAGAAAATTACATATTTTTCCTTATCCTGACTTGTGCTTAATTGCTTGTAGAATCCGACGGAAAAGGTGGTGGGTCAAGCCACTCTGGATTCTCTGCTGATTTATGTCCTTATACCCCCTTGGGTACTTCTAATGGCATTTGTCCTTTCTTCCAGCTTCTTCTGATGAGTGGGGGGACCACAATTTGTCAGATTTATCCTGGAATGTCTTCTGACATTCTGTGTGGATTTATGCAACTCCATCTCTACCCTACTTCGTGTACAAGTAAGTCCTTACAAGTACAGGATCCATCACTCATGCTAGCCTGTCCTAGACGTGCGCATGGACTTTAAAACCGTAACTCTGTTGAGTGTTGGCTTTTACAAGTCACGTGACAAAGGGGTGAGATTTATCTCAGCGTTTTTGAGGTACCGTCAATTGTTGTGCTACAACAAGGGGCCCAAACTGGTGGATGCCGGAGACATCCTCTTTAGCCATGTCTCTGAGGTAGTGGCTGGCACACACTGTCTCCGATCTCCAAAAGCAGCCCTCCATTATTGTTGAGATGGAGCAGTTTCCATGCAGAGCTAGTGTGGATGCCAGTGCTCTGACTTCAAGAGGACTGGAGGCTCATGGAGGATCAAGTCCTGCTGCTTTATAGGCTTTCAATATGACTGCTCTCATCCATATTGATATAGTTGTACGTGAGACTTCTATAGGTGTCTCTGTAGATAGAGGGATGAAAAGGCGCTTGAATTTTCGTCTCCTCAATTTAGATCATTTTCAATGCTCTGACTGGACATAAGGATCGATCTTGCATATCCTGTGGTCCTAATATCGACGAAAGTGCTGGGATATGGAATTGTCTGACTGGTTGACCGGGCAGTTGATTGTTTGCTGTAATCCCATCTTAGTCCCAGATGCACTGTGTCACGATGCGTGTCAAATCTTGTTCTTCCGAAGTCTAGAGCATGAATTTCTGACATCCTTGCCGCTGTTGCTAGGGCTACGAGGAACAGGGTTCTATGAGTTAATTTCTCATATGATGTCCTTTCTAGTGGTTCATAATCTTCACTGGTAAGATGCTGTAAAACCACACTGAGATCCCAAGCGGGCGCCTTGAATTTCCTTTGTTGGTCTTCCAACTTGAATGGCGTAGTAGTGCCAGTATCTCTGGTACTTTGATCAGTTTATACCGATTCCATCGTGATAACTGTGCTCAAGGCCGCTAGGTATTTAGAGAGTGTAGATCCCTTCAATTGTTTTGTCTGTCTAAGATGACAAAGATATTCCGCCACTTGAGGATGTGTTGCTTCCATCGCAGTGAAGCCTTTATTCCGTGCATATTTCTCAAAACTTTGCCACTTGTCATCATACAAGTTACAGGTTGATCTACGTAAGGCTAAAGTTACTGCTTTGGCCGCTCTGGTGGAATATCCTCTTTTCTTCAAGCAAGTCGTGATACGCTGCATGCATGTAGCTGAAACATTGTTGAATTTCAGTGTGCTTGCTTGGTGTGTGGATGAATCAGTAGATTTAGCTACTTGGAAGTTGTAGGATTGGCTTTCCTAGATCTTGTATAAGGTTGGGAAATAGGGCGTGACCATAATCAGTTGTAACTTGTTTGTCACCTTGATTCCCTGTAATACCTTCGGTATTAACGCTCGAGGAGGGAACGCGTAAGCGTTTAGTCCTACCCAAGATATGCTTAGAGCATCTGCTGCCCATGCTTGTGGATCTGGAAACAGAGAGACGAATTTTGGTAGCTGTTTGTTGAACTTTGTTGCAAACAAGTGTACCAGAGGGGATCCTACTGTCTGAATGATGTCTCTGAACGCCTCTGGATATAACATCCACTCCGTCGGTAATGGATTCATTGGACGGTATAGGGCGTCTGCTATCACATTTCTGGCTTCCGGAATGTGTGATGCTTTTATGTCGATGTTCAGGTTGTCTTCTATGCTGAATAGATGAAAGCTGAAGTCTTAACATATTCTTTGATCTTGTTGATCCTTGTTTGTTGATGTAGAACGCCACTGTGGAGTTGTCCGTATGGATCATCAGTTGTGCGTTCCTTAGTATGCTGGACCAGTGTAGTAAGGCGTTTATTACTGCTTCCATCTTGAGCATTTTGTTGTGCAGACTCTGCTCCTGATTCAGCCATTTCCCTGCTGCCACTTCGTTGTCGAGGTGAACTTCCCAGCCTTGAAGTGATGCATCTACGTAGAGATGAGTGTTGCACTCCAGCTCTGATAAGTAGGATCCTCCACAAATATTCGACTTCCTAGTCCACCATAGAAGATATGGTTTCAATCCGTCCAGTAGTCCTAAGGAGACCAGACGGTTGAGATGGGCGTTCACAAACACTTGTAGTGTGTGCAATTGTAGACCTCCTCTACGAGTCCAGTTCTGGCATCATGACTTGAAGTTTGTTTCTTCAATCTTCCGATAATATGTCAAAAGGACTTGTCATCAGAATCACCACAAGTGCAGTGATGATGCATAATTCATCGTCTCTAGATGTACTCTGAAGTCTAATTATAGTAGACTGGCTGCCTCGAGCAGAAATCGTCAAAAGTATGTTGCTGCAATTCGTCAGATTACCAATCTTCAAACTGCTGACAGGGAAGGTCCTTATGACCCATGAAGACAGTCGAATCACGTTGTACCCTGCTAACTGGACTGTAAATGGAGCCTTCCTCCCACGTTGAAAAGTTGTTTACGACTGTAGATGACTTCCTGACACTTGAGCTGTGCCTGACTTCTGCACAGGGCGTTGTCTCTCATGGACCAATCAGATTGCAACATTTGATTCATGTCAGATTCCCACGACGTGACATCACCGGTTGTTGCAGGAAAAGATCCTTGTAAAATCTTGTGCAGTCCTTGATTTCTCTCATCAACACTCGCCTTGTCCGCAACTTCCCGGAATACACTAATGAACACGTGTATAACAGGCTGAGTGGAAAACGCGCGAAAGATTTCGCCGCGTTAATACCGATGTAGGTAGACAGTTTCCCTGGCTGTTGTGGCTTTTCTCTTCTTCACTGAAGATAATGCAGTTGTCATTTTAAACAGATGATCAGCTGAAGTTCCATACTCGCTTAACGTTGATACTTGTAGACTGTAGTCATCAGTCTCAATGAAGAGCCTTAAAATAACCGATTGTGTTGAATACACAAGAGTTATTGTAGAGTTGATACTCTCACTACGATGATCGGAAAAAACGATATTATGCTGGGGACTGCAACAATGCCAATGCTAGGACAGTGGTAACTGTTAAGCTATCCCCTTCCTCACAAGAGCCAGCTCCCTGCAATGGAAGTCGTTGATAATTTTGTAGTTCTCGTCTATCTCTGGGGCCTTCATGAAGGGTTCCATATGGTGAAGAGAACTTCTTAGCGTTGAAAAGTGGTATACTTTGACTCTGGTACTTCGTTGCCTTCTTGAAGGCTGTACTGAGTTGTCTGGTACATCCAAGACGGGATGGAAGGGTGGACTTGTCAAAATCGTCGTTAAACATTATGTACGTGAATGCTTCATTATCCTCCTTAGGTGGTGATGCAAGCTCCAATCCATTAGCCATCCAGGATTGTGTGTGAAGGCATTCGTGAATGCCTTTCTGAAGATGCATTTGGTGATCTGTGAGGAGACCTGTATCTGCATGGTGATCCATGAAGATCTTCTATGGGACGTTTGCGCAGGCCTCTGGTGATTGTCCGAATCTGAAGATGAGGATAAACTGCGATGTTCTGGTGAACGTGTAGTTCTCCTTTTCAACTACAGGCTCCTCACTGTCCAGGTTGATAGGTTCTCGTGAAGTTGTCATAACCAATTGTTGAGATCTATGAGTAAGCCTGCGTGGAGATGAGGTAGGTGATCTGTATCTGTGTGGTGACGACCATGAAGACCTTCCTGAAGACCTGCGCAAAGGTGACCTGTCTCTGTGAGCTGTATGCCTTCGTAAGGGTGTATATTCTCTTCTACATGGCATTCGCGCAGACCTCTGGAGATTGTCTGAGTCCGAGGATGAAGATGATCTGCGATGCCTTCGGGAATGCTCCTCGTCTATTGCAGGAGCCTCTTCATAATTATTGCTTCCTTTCGCGAATGCCTTCGCAGGTGCTGTCTCGGCTGTTGTTTCCATGAGTGTCTTCACAAGTGGTTCTTCCGCGATTGCCTTCGCGAGTGCCGTACGAGAGTTGCTGTCTTCATGAACGTTCCCTTCACGAACGTTTTCTTCACGCAGGTTGCTTCCTTCATCCCGATGAGTGTAGACGATGTTCGTCCTCCTTGCAGATTCGTCTGCTTCTCCGCAGTCTTCTCCTGAGCGAACCTACGTTCCATCAGGTCCATCATCTGCTGGGTAAAGTGCTGCATAAAGATACCCGGGTTGAAGGTCTGCGCTGATAACTTGTGCTGTTGTACAGATGACGCCGCATCTGACAGTGCTGAGGTGTCATCTAAGGACTGCCTGTCCTCTCTGGTATCTGCAGTCTGCGTAGATAGGAAGTCTGATTACGTTGATATAGTTGCAAACGTCAGTGTAAAAGAAGATCTCGTCTTCTTCCTCACCGGTACTTCATCAATGAGGATCGGCTGCTCATCGTAAATGCCTGCTTCGTCCGATGGGTTGATATCAGCGGCGAAGGACCTCGACTTCTTCGCTACCCCCACTGACGACTTGACTGTAGACTTGTCTGAAGACGGCTTAGTCTTCACAGCAGACGGCGCCCTAGTCTTCTTGGACTGCGATGAGGATTGTTGAGTCGATGACGATCTTTCCCTAAGGCTGGAAACCTCATTCCTCTGCTCTGAAGACGCCACCGGCAGCTCACTGGAATGATGTACCTCGACAGACAACAACCCACGGTTATTAACACATTCACCCTGTTGAGACATGACTTGTAATTGCTGCCTCAACTTGTCCTTGGCACGTCTATGAATAGAATATAAATTATTACAAAATTCAATTTGAGATAAATGCCGACAAAGTTTACAGCGGAGGCTGAATCTCCATATAGAAGTGCAGTAAGGACATAAAGAATGCGGATCAGCAGCTGACAACCAAAACCTGCAAGAAATGCAAGTCTTCATGAAATGTAAACATGATGTCAACAAGGTGAAAAACGGACAATTTTAGAATAAATTGCAAACGATATTGCTGGTAAATCCTTGCTAAAGCCCTTATACAGCCTAATTTAGTATAAAAGCCGTATAGGGGACAGAAGCTCTCACAACCGTCACTAGGGCTTAAGAAGGAGAGAGTGACAAGCATGGCTGATCATGTGACCAACTTTTCGCGCCAAAAAATGGGGAGAAAGGGAGACTACTGGGGTGAGTGATTTTAAGTCCACTTTTTAAAGGAGCTTCAAAGGGGATTCAAGTGTTCCACTATAGTTCTAAGAAGAAGAAGACAAGCAATTAAGCATGAGTCAGGATAAGGAAAAATGTAACAGACTGTCAAGGTACACCAAGGATTTGATAATGGCCAAAAATACCTAAGAACGGAACATTCCTTTAAATAGAAAACCATTGGACAGGGTGACCTTGTCTAACAAGCCATCGATAATTTGACACTGAGTGGCAAATACAACCAGATTAACCTGCAGAAGCATTTCTCAAGGATGGTCGTCCCTAGAGATGTCCAATGTTACAAGTACTATCCATAAAGAGGATTGCATTCACCTCACTGTTTCATTAAACTTTTGCAACAAAAGCCGGCCATGACACATTTGTCCTGTGTTAAGACAGTTTATGTTTAAGACAAACTTACACTTTCTTGCCGTTGAGCAACATGCCATTAACTTTCTCAATGGCCTGTCTGGCTGCTTCTTCAGTATCAAAATGGACAAAGCCATAATCCGGGGAGCCATTTTCATCGGAAGCTAACTGCAAAAGCAAAATTTGGGGCCCTTACTTAAAATCTACCGACTAAAGGAATGTCAGTATTAATGACTATAAAGAACTGTGTTGGAAATCAGATAATTGTAGATTTTAGACTTACAATTGAGCTTACTACACAAAATTAACTGGACAATAGCCTTGGGCTAGTGGTTAAGTCAGGCCTGCACCGATCGAAATCAAATGTAGATTAGTTGTGTGCATCAGGTGTGTAACAATACACAAAGGCCACTATACAAAAATATGACAAAGGACCCGCTTGGACAAAGCGATATAGACAGTCATGTCATATCTCTAAGAAAAAGAGGAAAGAGCTCCTTCCATTCACCCAACCCTAAACCTAACTCTAAACCTAACCCTAACTTTTTAGTCACTTTATGAGTTCTCCAGTAATTGTTATGTTAAGTTTTGTTAATAATTTCAGTATATTTATAAATATTATTTGAGATGGGGGAACGGGAGGAACTCTTACCGAAAAAGATAGCAGTAGAAGCAAGTACATAATGGCTATTTCTTGTAGTTTATTCAAAACACTGATTATTATAATTCATTTTGCATTAAGTCCACAAACAATTAGCACACTAAGCATATCACCTTGTATAATAGAGGAAAACTTATTTCATTAAAAACTCAATACACCCGTGTATCTTTTCACAACTGAGAATTTCATTGAATCTACCAAAATTAAATTCAATTAAATTCCCTTGTCAATTGCCACTGCTAAAAAATTCAATGTCAAGATCAACATGATCATGTCTAACATACCTTACAAGACAGGATGTTGCCAAAAGCTGAGAAAGTATCGTATAGAGCCTTGTTGTCAATGCTCTTGTCCAAATTCTTGATGAACACATTGCCCACGCCAGACTTTCTCAAGGAAGGGTCACGTTGAGACCACATTATTCTGATTTTTCTACCCTTGATAGTATCAAAGTCCATCGTGTCCAAAGCCCTTTCAGCTGTAAATACATAGAAAATACATGAACATGGTATTAAAAAAATGACTAGACTTCAAAAAGATTGTATTCATTTTTGGTATAATGCAACATTACTAGTTTTTTAATGGGTACATTCAAATAATAGCTGAGAATGATATTACAGGAGATATGCACAACATTTTATCTAAATATGAATGGCAACACTACAGCTAAAACACCAAGTGCATGGATGTAAATTTATGGGAGTAATTACGAAAACAAGTTAATGCCAAATCCTTGATTAACAAGGAAACACAACTTGAGTTTGATAGCTTAATTCCAACCATCCATACAGTCTTTAACGATGAAAGTAAACATGCAAACGTGCCAGAGGCGTGAGGAAATGTTTCAACATGTTGCCTGCCTTCACAAACACGTAGACCCTGCCTACCGCGTGTGCTGAATCCAAACCTCGTGATCGCCAGTTTCTTTTCAAACGCCATCAACTTCAATATGCAATTAAAGCGAATACACACCCACGACTGATATTTCACTTACCGCCAGCAGGTTGTTGAAAATTAACATAAGCATAACCAAGTGATTGTCGAGTTATCATGTCTCGACATACACCTATGGACAACACGGGTCCTGCTGTCGAGAATTTCTCGAACAACATGGCTTCGGTGACATCGGGTGGAGATCTCCAACGTAGAGGGATGCCATCGGATAGCTTGGTCCTCGCGGATTCATCTTGGCTTGTTTGTTTTCTCGTAGAGAGTTCTTCAAAATCAAGGTGGTTTGGATACTTGGTTGATGACTTCCTCCGATATGTTGAATATGTAATTTTTAGAGTAAAATTGATATTTTATACTTATCCTGACTCATGCTCTTTTGCTTGTCTTCTTCTTCTTGCTAACATAGTGGAAACACTTGTATCTCCCTAATTGAAGCTCCCTTCAATGTATAATCACTAATTAATACTCACCATGACTTGCCTCCCTTTGTCCCAAGCGCTGAAAGGTGGCGCCACCCTCTGGCCACATGCTTCACTCTCTCCTTATTTTTTCGAGCCCAACACTTGAATTTACAGGGAAATCCAAAGTGTTATGTGGGGAGGATGGAGGGAGCATATTCATGAGTCAGGATAAGTATAAAATATCAATTTTACTCTAAAAATTACATATTTTTCCTTATCCTGACTCATGCTCTTTTGCTTGTAGTATCCGACGGAATCGGAGGTGGGAAAGAGTAGAGACTTTGGATTTACCAGATTAATTAGTGATTTATATATATATATCTGTAATAACCCCCTGACGGGAACTTATAATGGCACTGAATTGTAATCCTTTCTGCTATTATAAACTATAAGTTTATACACTGCCATAGACAAAACGGGGTATTACTATACAAAAACATACTATGAACATAGCAATAAGTATATATACTACTCCAACATGGAGAAGTTATCCAAAAATGTACATAAATATCAGTACTGGGCTTAAGGTTAGACTTAAGCTAGGTATATCAATAGCCCTAACAACTCCGTAGAGTTTTAAGCTAGATAATACATGTATAAATATACATAATAATCTCGTAAGACTATGTCTTATCGTCTACGAGGGACTGTCAACTGCTGTGCGAGGACCATAGGACCGAAATGGTGAATACCTGAGACGTCCTCGGTGGTGATATCTCTCAGATAGTGATTAGCAAACACCATGTCGGATTTCCAAAAACATCCCTCCATGATGGTATTTAGTGAGCAGTTACCGTAGAAGCGAGCGGAAGCTAAGGCTCTGATTTCGTGAGGATTTGCTGCTCTTGGAGGGTCCAGTCCAGCCGCCTTGTAGGCGCGCAGTATGACAGTTCTAATCCATATAGATATGGTGGTACGAGAGACCTCGGTCTGACTTGTCGCCGCTAAAGGGATGAATAATCGCTTGAGATGTCGGCGCCTTGGTTTGGAACGTCGAGATAGATTTTGAGAGCTCTGACTGGGCATAGAGATAAGTCCAACGTATCTTGAGATCCGAGAATCGAGGATAGTGCAGGGATATGGAATAATCTGTCTGGTTGACCTGGCAATTGATTCTTAGCGATAAAGTCCCATCGCAAACCCATGTGCACTGTGTTGTGATTGTCATCAAACTGAATCCTCTCGTAATCTAGTGCGTGAATTTCAGACATCCTGGCTGCAGTCGCTAGCGATAACAGGAAAACCGTTTTCTGTGTGAGAAGTTCAAAGTTCGTTGAATCTAACGGTTCATAACTTTCACTTGTGAGGTGTTGAAGCACTATATTTAGATCCCACGCTGGCGCGCGGAATTTCACTTTCTGATCTTCCAAACGAAAAGAGCGTAGCAAGGCGAGTAACTCTGGCGTCTTCGTTAACTTGACACCCGTTCTCATGGTAACGACCGAACTAAGCGCGGCAAGATATGTTGACAATGTCGAGCCCTTCAAATGTTTCTTTTGACGTAGGTAACACAGATAATCAGCCACTTGTGGATGTGTAGCATCTCTCGCTGTAAATCCATTTTTTGCTGCGTAGTTTTCGAAACTTTGCCACTTGTCGCCGCATAAGCCACGAGTAGAATAGCGTAAAGCAAGCGTGACTGCTTTTGCCGCCTTTGTAGAATATCCTCTTTGTTCAAACACACTTTAATACAGTCCATACGCGAAGTTGGTACACTTCTGGGTTTCCGTGCGCTTGTTTGGTGTGAGGATGTACTAGTAGATTCGAGCGCTTTGGTAGCTTTAGTGTTGGTTGTCCGATTTCTTGAATTAGAATGGGAAACCACGTTCTGGCTGGCCAGTAGGGCGCGACCAAAGTTAGTTGTAGCCTCTGTGTTTGTCTGATTTTCTGTAACACTTGAGGGATTAGCACTGGCGGCGGAAACGCGTACGCGTTGAGGCCTTCCCAGGATATGCTTAGAGCGTCCGTTGCCCATGCTTGTGGATCCGGGACAGGTGATACGAATGTCGTTAGCTGATTGTTGAATCGAGTGGCGAATAGGTCTACTAGCGGCGCTCCTAATTGTTTGATAATCTGTGCGAAGATTTCTGTATGGAGCATCCATTCTGTCGGTGCCGGTAGGCGTGGCCGAGAGAGTGCGTCTGCTAGTACATTCTTGGCTCCGGGAATGTGACATGCTCTGACATGTAGGTTGAGATCGCTGATTAGATCGAACAGTTGAAAGCATACAGTCAATAGGCTTGATGATCTCGTTAAGCCTTGTTTGTTCACATAATACGCCACTGTTGAGTTGTCGGTATGAATCATCAGATGTGCCTGTCGTAGAATGGTACTCCAATGACGTATGGCGTTGATTACCGCTTTCATCTCTAACATGTTTATATGGAGCTTGCTTTCTTGCTGATTCCATATGCCTGATGTCGTCCGGGTTGGCGAGATGAGCTCCCCAACCTTGGAGCCACGCTGCCTACATAGAGATGGGTTTGGAATTCGCTCTGTTAAATAGATGCCTTCGCAGACATTCGACCTCCTGGTCCACCATAGTAGATGAGGTCTGAGGTGTACCGGTAGACTGAATGGTTGTAGATCGTCGAGATGAGCGTTGATGAAGACCTGTAATGGGCGTAACTGTAGCCTGCCTCTTAGTGTCAAGTCTTGGGCTGACGGAGGAGACCCAATAGACTCTGCCATTGTCGTAGTGGTAACGGAGAGAGTAGCTGGTGGAATGGTCTGTTGGATCTTGAGCCAGCGGTCTTCTGGAACGACGATACGGTTGAGCGTCGATATAAATCGAATGCCTAGAAACTGCAGATCTTGGCGAAGGTACTAGGTCCGACTTGAGTAGATTTACTAACCATCCCAGCTGTGTTAGTAGCTTGATGATGTAGTTTAACTGTAGTTTGAGACGCTGTGGATCTTGATCTACTTGTATCCCGGCCGTCGAGGTAAAACGCACTGCGCGTAGCCCTTTGACGATGTAGGTAGGTGACGATGGGTTTCGTTACTCTTGTAAATAACCATGGGGCTGATGATATTCCGAATGGGAGTACTTTCCATTGGTAATGCAGCCCGTCCAGTGTAAATCGTAGGTATTTCTTGGATTCGGGATGTATCGGGATGTGTAGATACGCATCTTGTAGGTCTATACTGGCCATGTAATCCATGGGACGGATTAAGTGCCGTAACTGGGGTAGATGTATCATGCGAAACTCGGGTGGTTTGGCGTGAGATAATCTCTGTTGAACGTGCTCATGTTGTAGATGAGTCTGTATTTCTCCTTGGAGTTTTTCTTGGGTACTAGGAAAACTGGGGAGTAGAAACCTGGTTCGATGTTTACTTGATCTAGTACTTCTATGGCCTGCTTGTTCAGGAGGGAAGTAATGGCCTCTCTTAACTTTGGTAGTTGTTGTGTCTGGAAGTCGAACTTGTAAGGGTTGACTGTCAGCGGAGGCGTGGCCTTTAGTTGGATACGATATCCGTGATGAAGAATGTTGGAGACATATGGGTCTTGTAACATTCCCCAGTTCTCCCAGTATAGTTGAAGGCGTCCACCCACTTGTGACGGTTGTACTGGAACGGCTGGGGGTGGAAGACTCCAGTCGTTCCGAACCTGACTTTCAGCGCTTATAGTTGCGGAACCTCTGGGTGCCCTGCCTCTTCCTGATCCTCCTCTGTAGTTGCCAAATGGGCTTACGAAAAGAATCTCTTCCCCTGAACTGGCTATCTTTTATCCCGCGCTCTCTGTAATCCAGTGAATTTAGATTTCCCTGAATATCTTTGTGAAGTCTGTCTGATGACGCTGGCTAGCGATCCATTGACTTAATCATAAGGACTTCTCTGAATCCTTAGTGACTTCCTTTGAGACTTTCTATTCCTCCATCGAAGATGGATGGAGCAGACCACGGGGCTGTATAGAGTGGAGCTGTAAACTGCTCACCCCAGTTGCAGGAAGCGAGGAGGCCTTGACGACGGGCTAAGGTTAAGGCTGCTGAGACTGATGTGAGATGATCCGTAAGGAACTGCTGGTCCTTCTTCTGCATAAGTAGGGCCGAGTAAATCATTCTATCATCTTCAGATGTCGTGGTCACGAAATCTGGTGATAAGAGTCTCATTGATCGCTCTAGATCTATTAAGGCCAAAGAACATTCGCCTAGTCATGGTTTCTAACTGAACCAACTTGGCGATCGCCAATCTTGTAGTTCTTGTTCTTGACATCATTGATCAACTTGTAGTTGTCGTCTATGTCTTGTGCCTTGAGGAACGGTTCCATGTTGTGGGTTGAAAACTTGTTAGCATGGAACTGTGGTAAATGTGCTGTTTGGACTTTAGTGGCTTTGTGGAAGGCTGAGTCCAAATTCTTCGGTACCGCAGCAATCGGGTCGATCGGTGGTAAGGTGATGGCATCAGCATCGTCCTCCTTCATCAAATAAGTCTGCGCCGAGTTGTTACTCTTGGAAGGTGAAGAAAGGTCTAGGTTGTTTACCATCCAGTATCGTGATCTCAGCCGCCTGAGAAGATGATGCCTCCATCGCCTTCTGTAATGGGATCGCCGATAAGAGGTTGATGCTCTTGTGATGGCGGTATATATGGTTCTATCGCTGTACATGGAGACGATAATGGAGACCTGACTTGGGACTTCTGTGAAGACCTGTGTGGAGATCTGTGTGGAGATCGATGTGGAGATCGGCGAGGTGATCGGGCGAGGTGATCGGCGAGGTGAACGGCGAGGCTTAACGATATGATCTTGGTGATCGGCCTGATGAGCTGCGCCTTGACTTTCGCGGAGATCTGTGAGGTGAACGCTGATAGCTTTCGCTGGCCCTTTGAGGAATCTGCAGATGATCGCCTGGACGAAGATGATTTAGAACCTGCTACTGGTGTCCTTCGGAAGCCCTTCGTGAAGCCTTAACTGTGTCCGGTTCTGGGGAGGACGGCTTGACCTTCGCGAAGGCTTTCGTGAAGTCGGGGTCCGAAGTCTGAGTCCAAGGACGACGAGTCTTCCTTCTGGAATCTTTATAAGAGTGATGATCCTCCTGAGTCCGGGAAGGTGATGATCTTCTAACCCTTCGTGCAGGCTGTTCATCTGGGTCCTTCCTGGAGGTAGACTGTGACTTCCTTCGCGAAGGTGGCTTGGTCGCGGGCCGCTACGCTGACGGAGTGTCCCTCTGGGCAGTCGCCTGCGCTGGTGCCTTCGTGGAGGTCCTTCTGGGCTGGTTGCAGTCTGTAACGGTCCTCCATCATCTGCATGATCTTCTGTATCATGTCGCCTGGGATGGTCTGCGACGATGTCGCCGATGCCCTCTCTGCGATGTTAGCGACGGCCCCTCAGAATGATCGCCGGACATCAGTGTAGAGACATCAGGCTGCCTGGCGATCTCTGCTGACGCTACTGTAGCTGACACCGGTCGCTTCTTGTGGCGAGATCGGGTATGATGATCGGCTGGTCGTCATACAGGCCCAGTTCAGCGGCGGGAAGAATCTCGGCTGAGAACGCTCTAGCTGGCTTCTTAGCTTTTCCCTTGGAGGTCGACGCTGCCCTGGGGTACGGAGTTTACGCTGTGACGGTCGATGCCCTCTTAGACTTCTGCTGCGAAGACGGATGTCTGGGGAAGCAGGACGCTTCTTGAGACGGCGGACTGCATCCCACGCCCTCCTCCGAAGGAATCTCTAGCGAACACCAGACGGAGGGGGTCAGTCCGACAGCAGTTGACTGGCTAGAGGGTCCGATGTATCGCCATGCCTAAGGCTTGTTTACGTGATCTATCTGCTGCACGCCTCAAGACGCAAAACGATATTTGTTAAATGCAGAAATGGATAAATTAATACAATAACTGCAACGCGAAGTAAACGCACAAGGCGTAGTACAGCTAGGACATATTAAATGCGGATCAGCAGCAGAAAACGTAATCTACAAACAGTACAGATTTTCATCCACGTAAACTAGGCTGAACAATCACGGAAAACCGTGAATAAACAGTAGAATTACGAGTAATAATCAATACATATTGTTAAAGGATACTAGCTACACCTCTTTAGTAAGGAATAAGAGGTAATAAACTAAGAATAATCAAAGGATATAGTGTGCAAGGAGACACAGGTGCTCTCACATCCTGCTCACTGGGCGAAGGAGAGAGTGAAGCATGTGGCCAGAGGGTGGCGCCACCTTTCCCGCGCTGGGACAAAGGGAGGCAAGTCATGGTGAGTATTAATTAGTGATTATACATTGAAGGGAGCTTCAATTAGGAGATACAAGTGTTTCCACTATGTTCGCAAGAAGAAGAAGACAAGCAAAAGAGCATGAGTCAGGATAAGGAAAAATTTAAAATATGGTTAAAATAGAATATTTTGGAGCTAATAGTACAAACAGTGTTTCACATTCATTTGCTCATAATACGTACTCATTCGCATCGCAAGACAGCAGACTTTCTCAAGGAAGGGTCACGTTGAGAACCACATTATTCTGATTGGTCTACCTTGATAGTATCAAAGTTCATCGTGTCCAAAGCCCTTTCAGCTGTAAATACATAGAAAATACATGAACATGGTAAAAAAAATGACAAGACTACAAAAAGATTGTATTCATTGTTGGTATAATGCAACATAACTGATTTTTTAAAGGGTACATTCAAATAATAGCTGAGAATGATATTACAGGAGATATGCACAACATTTTATCTAAATATGAATGGCAACACTACAGCTAAAAACACCAAGTGCATGGATGTAAATTTATGGGAGTAATTACGAAAACAAGTTAATGCCAAATCCTTGATTAACAAGGAAACACAGCTTGAGGTAGTGCAGCATATAACTAGACGACTTTGCACTATACCAAGGTGTGCTCAACGATGTAGGCCTTGGCTGGAATACGAGTTTATTCATATGAACTAAACTTGAGGTTGATAGCGCTAATTAACATATCGCCACCTGTCAATTAAACAAATGACCTGACCAATGAGAAACGTCAATCCGTATCGCGCTGCCGTCAGCTGACAGCTGACCACCATTTTGTCTGACATCAGCGGTCTGGCGGACTTTTCAAAAATAAATCGACGTTTACAGTCATCGTTTTGATCATGGCGAAAAGATGTAGCTGGGGTACCTGCAACTCGGACACGCGGTACCCGGAACGACTTGCTGGTGGTATCACCTTTATTCCATTTCCCAAGCCTGCCAGAAATTTTGACAACTTTCACGATGGAAACGCTTGTGTGGTCGCCCCAAGTATCAACTGAACATGGACATACTTCGTGACCACAGCCGAGGAAAACATTTCTTCGTATGTACAAAGGTATGGAAACTAAAATTGAATAACATCTTAACCAATGTTGAAGTTAATGTAAATTTAGAAATCTTTGACTTGGTAGACTTTCACTGCTTTTTAGTTGTTATATAACCAGCTTACACCGATTTTCACCGAGTTAGTTATTAATGTTTCACCGCGTGGTATGCTCAAGGACAGATGATGTCTGTGTTTGAGCATACGATTTCAGATACAACCATGTTGTTTTTCGTCGTTTCTATCTACTAATAAATGCGAGCTTATTTACAGCACTTTGTTGATGGAAAACCCTCCAAGACATTTCCGGACCTTGCGTCTGCACATGAACAAAATGAAAATCCAAAGACAGTAAGACCACGACCCAAACCACGCTTGCCATTTATGGGCGACAGAAAAAGTACTGACTGACTGACTGAGTTTGGTTTTACGCCGCTTTTAGCAATATTCCAGCTACATCACGGCGGGGGACACCAGAAATGGGCTTCACACATTGTGCCCATGTGGGGATTCGAACTCGGGTCTTCGGCGTGACGAGCCAACGCTTTAACCATTAGGCTACCCCACCGCCCTACAGAAAAAGGAAAGTTATTCTTGAAACACACAGGTAAAACATTGTTGCCTTTATACTTACTGCTCACTAAACACGAAGAAACCATTGAAACATAAAAATCAAACAAATCCTTGTTTATTCTGAGAGTATCACAGAAAGTTAGTAAAGGTAATGTCACACATTTAGATCCTTTGTAGTTACGAAAAGACAGAAGTATCAAGTGCATCACAAGATCACAATCATACTCAAGTTCTATTCATATAAGCATGATGAAAGGACTGATATCACCTGCAGCAGGTGCATATTGACAGAAAAATCTAATTGCTCCAGACAAACCTGTGTTTCACCCAGGTCCCATAATATTGATTGATAATACACAATAACTCTGAAGGATTCAAACTATTGATCACAATCCATCATGAATATTAATACATCAACATGGACATTTGCTGTAACCACTGAAATCAGCCACGACAGTGGTTCTTTTAAATATGTTTAAATACAACATTAATTTACATGGACATTTGCTGTAACCACTGAGATCAGCAACGACAGTGGTCCTTTTATAAATATGTTTAAATACAACATTAATTTACATGGACATTTGCTGTAACCACTGAGATCAGCAACGACAGTGGTCCTTTATATATGTTTAAATACAACATTAATTTACATGGACATTTGCTGTAACCACTGAGATCAACAAGCGACAGTGGTCCTTTATAAATATGTTTAAATACAACATTAATTTACATGGACATTTGCTGTAACCACTGAGATCAGCAACGACAGTGGTCCTTTTATAAATATGTTTAAATACAACATTAATTTACATGGACATTTGCTGTAACCACTGAGATCAGCAACGACAGTGGTCCTTTTATAAATATGTTTAAATACAACATTAATTTTCATGGACATTTGCTGTAACCACTGAGATCAGCAACGACAGTGGTCCTTTTATAAATATGTTTAAATACAACATTAATTTACATGGACATTTGCTGTAACCACTGAGATCAGCAACGACAGTGGTCCTTTTATAAATATGTTTAAATACAACATTAATTTTCATGGACATTTGCTGTAACCACTGAGATCAGCAACGACAGTGGTCCTTTTATAAATATGTTTAAATACAACATTAATTTACATATTTATAGATGTTTATTATATGGCATGGCCAGACACAGCAATTAGTCCCCTATCCAGAGATCGCTAGTATTTCATACAGAAAAGATGACTTCTCAAATATAGAGATAATGTATGAATCAGATGGTCCAATATCCACATACAACTAGTCCATTCATACTTGTCATTTCTCTGACGGGCACAGAGTTTCAGAATATATTCTTACTCCTTCATCAGCTGGGAGATGAATAAAACTAGGAAGCAGATGGCAATATTGGAAATTTTATAACACATTGTATATTTATATACTTATCTTATCTCACGGTATGCACCATCTCTCTCTTCTACGACCATGTGTGGAAACATGCTGTCAGCTAAGTTAAGTCAAATAATAACTGGCCTCTGACCCGCCCTGACCTCTGCCCTCACCCCGACATCAACGCCTGTCAATCATCCACCAAAGCGTGCAGCTCACCCAAACGATCACATGACCACCTCTACCTGTCATTCTTGTCTTGGAGCTTCCAGTAATCAGTGATGTGGGGCAGGTTGGGTGGGTCCTATCGCGTGAGATAGGATAAGTATATAAATATACCATTTATTATAAAATTTTCAAATTTTTAAACTTATCCTATCTCACGGTATGCATAATCCCACGGTTGGTAGGTGGAATAGCAGATTACCCTGTTACTACTACCACCAGGAAAAACGCATAACCCAAGGAGGCCAGGAGAAAGCACCAAGCAAACGCAAAACTTGAGATGGGTTTCTTCAGGTGGTTAACCCCTTGGCTTACACAGCACAAAAACTCTAGGGAGTGGAGGCTCCTGAATTAATGTGGTTTTCAGCTGCAACTTTTGACAAGCAAAAGGGTGCAGTTTGGCAAGTCGGCCCCGCCGACCCGCGACTTATCAGGTGAGCCCAGTGAATTAAAGTCGAGGACCTTGCCAGTCCCTGCTTCGAAACTACCCCCCACAGACACATGCTGGAAGGTGGTGAAAGAGCCCGGTTGCTCAACTAGTTTAACGTTCAGTACCAATCTCCCTAACTTACCAAAGGTGAGGAAGGACTTAGGAGCAGAACGCTTCGAAAACCACACAGGTAATTGGAATCAACACTTCACTGAAGAGTAGAGGTCAGTAAGTGGAATGTCGACCATCTCTGCATGTAGTACAGGACTTGCCTCATAGTCTTCTCGACATGGATGACGCAAGAGCTCGGGTCTCATGAGGCTTGGCCGTTGCTGGTGGAGGTAGGTCAGCAAAGGTGTAGGCACTCAGGATCGTAGTTTTCATCCAAAAAGCCAAGGTAGTACAGGAGACTTCCGGGTGGAGGCAGTAGATATAGGGATGAACAGTCTCTTACGTAGTCTTCGACGATCCTGCGAGGAAGCTAGATAAATCCTCAATGCTCGAACTGGGCATTAGGAAAGATCTTCAGTGTCTTCTGGGCTCAACATGGTAGACAAAGGTGGGATCGTGATTTGCAATCCGGCTGTCTTGGTACCTGATTTTTGGCAAGGAAATCCCACCGCAAACCAAGGAAAACTCTGGCATGTCTAGACCTTCCAAACCATACCCGAGAAACATCAAGAGCATGCAACTCGGAGATACGGGCAGCTGCAGCCAAGGCCAAGAGAAAAGATCTCAAAGGAGACATGTTCGAAATCTTCTCCTCCAGAGGTTCATATTCAGCTGACGTGAGATGAGCAAGTACAACAGAGATATCCCAAGCTGGAGGCCGGAACTTCCAGGATTGGTCAGCCAGTTTGAAAGACCTAGGAGAGACTGGAGTTCATGGACAGTGGAAATCTTCACACCCAAGGCCGTTGCAATAACCGTGTTAAGAGCAGCCACGTAGGTAGACGTGTAGAACCTCTGAGTTCCCTGGCAGTTCGGAGATGCTGAAGATAATCTGCCACCATCTGCGGGGATGCCGTAGTGGGGGATGAGATGCCCTTCTTCCTGCAGTATGCTTAAAACTTTCCCACTTGTCCTCGTAAAGTGACCTTGTAGAAAGTGCGATGATGCTGTTGTAATGGCAGTAGCAACCCGCTTCGAATAACCGTTAGCCGTTAAGGATTGATGTAGATGTGCCAAATGCAGATGGAGCATCAACAGGGACCAATGTAGTTGGTGGAAGTGCGGATGAACCAGTAGATCGGGTCGATAGGGAAGCGGTACGGGATCTGGTTCGGCTAGGTCTTGAAGATCTACAAACCAACTTCTGGCCGGTCAGTAGGGCGCGAGCAAAGTAGAGTCAACCTCCGTGTTGCTCACAGTTCCCTAGAATGCGAGGAAAAAGGGCCACTGGCGGAAACGCGTAAGCATTCAGGTCTTCCGACGGGATGGCTAGAGCCTCGAGGTCCCAAGCCAAAAGGTCCGATATCGGTGACACAAACCAAAGCAGCTGATGGTTGAACCTCGTGGCGAAGAGGTCTACTGTCGGAGAAGTCATTGGAAGGCAGAAGGTTTGAAACACCTGAGGATGTAATTTCCATTCCATTGGAGAAGGACGACTCAGTCGGGACAGGGCATCTATGATGACATTCTTCACCCCCAGAAAGTGGTTGGCTCATACCATGATGTTGAGAAAGTCAACCAGATCCAAGAACTGTTGAGTCCACTGTAGAAGCTGTGGTGACCCCGTTGACCCCATTCTGTTGATATGCCAAACCACTGCTGCGTTGTCCGATCTGACCATGAGGGAAGTTGCTCGTAGGACATCATGCCAGTGACTGATTGCCAAAATCACTGCCCTGAACTCCAGAACGTTGATGTGACAGGCGCGATCTATGATAGACCAAGCCCTGCCACTTGTTGACTTTGATGCCTTGTGTTAGCGGTAGCGTCAGCGTACGGCATGAGGCGCCAGTATCCTCCTCTGTTAATCAGTCATCAAGACCTGCGACTACTCCAGTTCTACCTTTAGAGCAGGTTCATCGTTCAATGACATCGTCTCTATCTTCGGATGGTACGTCCCAATCGGATGGTAGCATGGATGTTGTTGACACACCTGAACTACTCGTCAGGATTGCCGATAGCCTCCGTATACAGCGTAGTACTTCCTCGGGAGATTTATTATCCATTTTGAAATGAAGCCAGGTAATTTTCCATCATGTTCCCACCTCGACCGTGTATCACTCAATTGGCAGCGTCTCTGGATTAAGTCCCCCTTCCAGTGGATGATAATATCACGTTGTTGGGAACTAAACAGAAAGCCTAGACGTAGGATCCTGTGCATTGAACTCCAGAGCTGAACTGAGTGGTCCTAGCGCCGAAGTCGACACCTGGCAGTAAGCGCTGAAACCTGAGGAAGCGTTGTACCATGAGTCAATACAGAAGTTAGTGAACTATGAGGCAGCACTGAACCGGGAACACCATGAGTAAGCGCTGAACCTGGAGCACCATGAGTGAGCGTCGACCCAGGAACCCCAGGAGTAAGCGTTGAGCCGGTAATACTGTAGGTAAGCGCTGAACCAGGAAGACTGTGAGTGAGCGCTGAACTAAAAGCACCGTGATGAAGCACCGAACTGGGAACACCGGGAGCAAGCGCTGAACCAAAGTCAATATGAGTAAGCGCTGAACCGAGAGTCCAGGAGGAAACCCTAAGCCAGTAACACCGGGAGGAAGCGCCTAACCAGGAACACTGGGAGGAACTGTCAACTGTTGAGCGAGGACCATGGGACCGAAATGGTGGATACCTGAGACGTCCTCGGTGGTGATATCTCTCAGATAGTGGTTGGCAACCACCATATCGGATCTCCAGAAACAACCCTCCATTATGGTATTCAAAGAGCAGTTGCCGTGTAGAGCAAGTGTTGATGCTAGCTCTCTAATTTCATGAGGATTAGATGCTCTTGGAGGGTTGAGTCCTGCAGCCTTGTAGGCACATAGTATGACAGTTCTGATCCAAATCGAGAT